GCTCCTTGGAAGGGAGGATGACTTAGTGGAAGAGAACAGGGACCCTGAGGCTCGCCTTTACCCATCCCAACAAATCTCTTGGGTCTCTGAAGCTCCTTTGTTACTGAAATGAAAACTGGGGATCTCAAAGGAAAGGACTCCCAATATTAACTACTTTCAGGAGGCCAAAACACTCCAGAGACTTTTCTCCCAGATGGGATTCTCTGTACCATCACAACTTTCTTCACAAATGTCTTAATATTGTAGCTTTTATTCTTTTTTGTAGATGTCATTCTGAATTCTGGAAACCTTAGGGGAGACCTGAGCTTTAGATGGATTCTTTGGATATCAGATAGGCAAACACACAGACTCCACAGATGTATCAAATCTTATCCTGAAAGAACCTCATCTGATAGGCCCCATAAAAACACCATTGGGCAACTATGTCTTAAGGCCATTTCTACAGGCTATAGCATAAATGTTTCCTGCTATACTTAAATGAGCTTTGAAGGAAGGGAATTGTTTACACTTTATTTGCAGGTGCCTTGGGCTGTGACACACTGCCCTGATAGAAGCCCATCTTTCGGGGTCCTGCAGTACTGGGTTGTCCCACACATCATGAGTGGCTGCAATGAAGGGGCAAAGTAGGAAGTGATTTGAAACTCTATTTCTAGGCTTGAGGATCTTTCCTCTGATATTTTTTTCCACTGCTGTTCCAGTGACACAAGTCACTTGTTGGAGGAAAGGGGAGGGCAGTGGCTGCTCTGGGGACAAAGATCCCTGCAAAGGGTGGCAGAGACCAGAACAGTACATTCATAAAAAGACGATCCTCTAAAAGGTGAGGACATAGGTAGGAATCCCTTTGGATGTTCCTCCTGCATGCAAAGGAATTTCCAAAAAAAGCATTTGGAGGCAGCCCTACCAATATCAAATATGGATGGGGACACTCATGCTGGGGCTGAAAAGCATTTGGGGAAGTGTCTGGGGTCCAGACCTCAAAGCTGATTGCTCAGGCTGTGGTACAGCAATGCAGTAAATGCAGCCTCAGGGCTCCAAAAGCCCTATCAAAAATGCTAAGGTATGCAATGCAAAGCACTGATTCACTATAAACTCATTCTCCTGCTCAGACAGCTGCAGTGGAGAAACTTTGTCTTTAAGCAGGCATGGTCTGTCTGTACCATTCTAACTTTGCCAAGTACCATCTACCAGCTCAAACATTCTGGCTAGTTTGACAGAACAACCACTGGACACCAGTGCCTCACCTGGGTTGGGTCCGCTCTGCTGGCTGCTTTGGCAACACCTGCATAGGCAGGAATTGATGAGGAACCTTGGCCTCAGATTGGTAGTGTGTTGGCATCTACTTGGGGTCTGTCCCTGATGTGGATAGCACCTGTTGCAAGAAGATTTGGATCCCCTAACGGGTGCTGCCAGAATATACCTGCTCTGTACATCTGGAGAGCAGGAGTAAGGCAGAGAGGTAGGAAGAGAGGGTAAATCGGTGCTACTGCTTTCTTTAGGAAAAACAAAAAAAGATATATTTCTGCGTTGAATGAAAGGAGGAGGTGGATGCTAAAAGCTGAGCTTAGACCTGGTTACAAAACAGGAATAGAAGCTGGGAGGGACCACAGAGTCCAATAACCTGCAGCCCCTCTTGCCACCCTCCCCTCCCGTTTTCCATAGCCCTGCTCCAGCTCAGGACTCCCCCTGCCTCACCTCGGGGCTGAGCTCTCTGGTAGGGACCAGGCTGGGCTGGCAGAATTGGGGGGGGCTGGAGCGCGGGGCAGGTTTCCTTCTCTGGGACTGCAGAGTTAACTTCTGCATGGACTTACCCCCGCGGGAGACAGCTGGGAAAAGCAGGCAGAACCGCCTGGTACTTACGTGTCGTTGGGATGTACATTTTCCTCTGCTTCACCGGGAGAATCCGTGTCATGTTTTTTTCCCCTTCCCCTTTCTTAAAAGCAATTGAACAAAACGGTCCTGGGAGGGAGCGAGTCCCACCATCCACTACCGAAGACGCAAGTCCTTCCTCCTGGACCTGCCCATCGCTTCCCTCCGTGACTGGTGTGGGAGTGGGGCCCACTCCAGTACCCGCTGCTGTCCGGCCGGGGATGTGCGGACCCTCACCCTCAGGCCGGCGGGTCTCTCCCCCACTCTCCCCTCACCATCTGCTGGGGAAGGGGGGGTTCGTCTGCCGGGCTTGGGCAAACAGGATTGAAGTGGCGGCTACCGTGGGATGGCTGCCGACAGCCAATGGGCGCCACGCACGGAAACACCGGCAGGAGAAGGAGAAGGAGGGGATGGACGATGGGGCTGGAGAATGGGAGAGGAGCGGGGAGGAGAAACCGGGATGGAGAATGAAAAGGGAGAGAGGGAGGTGCGGCAGAGGGGCAAGGGGAGAGGGGGAGCGCAGAGGAGGGGAGGATGGAGGGAGTGTGGTGAAAGAAGCTGGGGACGGTGGAGGGGAGAGGGAGACGAGAGGGATGCAGAGAGCAGCTGTGTGGTGGGAGAGTGGCGTGGTGGAAGGGGGGGACCCGGCTCAGCTCCCCTAGGAGGGGGGAGTTGTGGCAGTGCAAAGTGCCCTGCGAATGCCCACGAGCACACAGGAGAGGGGCTGCCTGTTCTGAGGATCTCACAGGCAGCACAGCTGCTGCTCAGAGCTGCAGGGACACGGCAAAGCCTTCTGGCTGGCAAGATGCTCAGGAACCGGGGTGGATGCCGAGCACACAAACCCTTCTCCCTTCTGTTCTGCCCTACGAGCACCTCCAGATGGATGGAGCTGAGGGCAGATGGGCAGATAATGGGGCTGTCTGTCTCAACTCTCTCCCTCCCCTGGCTCCATGCACAATCTCACGTCTTTTGCACCTTTTTTGGGAAAAAGCTCCAGTTCAACAGCCCCAAACTCTCCTGCTTGATTTCATCTGTGCTGCAAGGAGTGGACACAGAAGAAATGGGGCAGGGCAAGCAATTAAGCTCCTTTGTGTGAGCAGTCCTTCCGGGAAGAAAATTAGGATTTCCCCATCCCATTCCTTGCACAAAGTGCTTCCCTATAGTCCTCAGCCCCTTCCCTGCCCTGCCGCCAACATCAGTGACTCTTTGTGCTGTGCGGTCACCCAGCTCTTGAAATCTGGCACTCCTGTTATGAGCAGTTAAGCTCCTAGGGCCAATTCCAGCCTTAATACAAGTAGGGAGTATCTCTGCGAGCAGAACATAGCCAGGGTCTAAAACCTGGCCTTCCAGACCTGCCTGAGCCGCCAGTGCTGCTCAAAGGTGAACCGGTGAAGACAGTACAGGGCTCCAAAGCTGTCAGGATGCCTTAGCCTAAATCTTGGCCACAGTGCTGTCTGGAGACACACAGGAGAGATGAGGCCTCACTGGGGAAGGAATGGCATGGGCAGCACCCAGTGGCCATCTTTGTCATGGCAGGGCAGGTATCTGCAGCAGCATGCAGGGAGCCCCTAGAAGAAACGGAGCCATGCAACAGCAGAGCTCTGCCCAGGCCAGCTATCCCTTGCAGGCCTTGTTAACATAAGCAAAGTCATTAAGTTCAAAACTTCCAGGTCTCCAGCTTGCTTCCTCAATGCTCAGAGTCCTGCCTCAGCTGCAACGGGGTTGTGCAAACTGCTTGAATTGTGTTGGAAGGAGAGCTCAGCCTGTGCACCTCCACAGGTAGGCAGGTACATGAATTTTGTTTCATGCGCACGGTGAGCCTCTCCTCTGCATTGCTGTACATGATAGGGGACAGGGCGGACTGAGAAGGTGGAAGCCAAGGCTTGAAAACTGGAGAGGAAGTAATAACCCACTGGGAATTCATTGGTCTGAATAATGTTTAGGGTGTTTAAGGGAGGCTAGATCCCAGTCTCAAGGGCTTTGTGTCCCTTGCCCACACCAAAGACTTCATTTCTGCTTTTCTGGACTTACGTTGACACAATTTACATTACCTTTGGAAGGGGCTTGGGCAATTCATCTGGCAGCGCATATGCAATGCAGGCATTCGTGGAACTCGCTGCCACAGGATGTCCTCCAGCGTTGCTCTGGACATTATCAGTGAATAATGTGTCACACCACTGAATCAACTGCCTTACTCGGATCTGCCCGTGAATTGAATTTGCAGAAATTTCCCTGGCAGCAGGGTACCTCAGGGCCTTCACTGTGGCAGGTTGTTGCTGACACTACCCATGCACCTCCTCAGCGCAGGAAGCAGCCTTTGAAACTCAGAAGTGATGCTGCATCGGGGAGCGGTAAGCTGGCTCAACTCCACCGTTTCCCTGTGCCCTCCCAGGACTGCAGGATTTTGCAGTGCCAATCATTGCACCCTGAGCCCTCCTCCCTCCCTCCCGCGAGCAGTGGCAGTAGCAGCCACCCTGTAATGCTTCTTACTCTCAAGTCCCTGCAATGCATCAGGAAGGCAGGTGCTCACAGCTGCCAGATCCATAGTACCGCTGGGACCACTCTCTTCCGCTTAATTTTAGTGACTTGGAGGCAATTTGTCTGGACTGGTGACTCATTCCTCGCTTTTTTTATTCCCGCCCTCCCCCTTCCTATTCTCCTTCTGCCTGTGCCTGGCAGTGTGAGCAAGTGCCGGTACCGATACAACTGCCTGTGACGTGAGCTTAGGAGCATTAATGCAGAAATGTTTTGGTGAAAGTGTGTCCCCAGCGACCTGCAGGGGCAGTCCCCACAGAGAGGAGTCTGGGCCTGGATGTCCCCTCCCAAAGCTCGCATCTCATCCTCTGCGTGTCTCGGAGGGGAGACAACTTTTCCTTTGAACACATGGAGGCTGAGAAGAGAAAGGGCAAAAGCGGAGGTGTAATCGTCCCGCCGCCTTTGGCCGGCACACGATATTCCCACTTTACTGAGGAACGCAGGGGGCTCAGCTGAGAACTTGGCAACTCGGTGCATGAATCAGGCCTCGTCTCTTCATCCTAGAGCGGCGGGGGCTCCCCGGTACCACGCTCAGCGTGGAGCTGCCTGGGTGGTCACTGCCGAGGGAGGGGTACGGCTGGCAGATGCCTCCACCCCAGCCGTCCCGTTGTTCACCGCTTCGGGGCCGTGTCGCCCCGAGGTGCAACGCATCACGGACATGGCAAGAATGAACGGTCTGTTTATTTGGTCTTATTCACTACGTTGTAACCTCGGAGGCTGGTGAGGAAGGGAAGGGGCAGCTGGGGTGAGGCGAGTGTGGGGAAGTTGTGCAAACAGACAAACCAGTGCTACAGACCCACAACAGTCTTTCAAGCCAGCAGAAGTAAAAAGCGCAGTGACCGCCACAAGGTACTGAGCTCCGGGATGCTGGAGCCTTCGCTCTCCTGTGTGCTGGGCAGAGCCTTGCATCAGGACGGGGCTGGGATCTGGAGCCAAAAACACGACAGACCTCATGAAACGAGCTCGGCTGTTTTCCTGCTCTGCCTCCCTCTGCCCTGGTGGTGGTGGGAGAACGAAGGGGCAGGGTCCCAGCTAGAAAGTTCTCACTCTCCTCTCTCCTCAGGCTCTGGCCAGCTTTGCCTCTCATCCTGAAGCCTCTCTGATCCCTTGAGTTGAAGGGGAAGGGCAGATGGGGACAATATGAGGAGTCCTGGGGGAGAAGCTGCTGCCTGTCAATGTACAGCAACACAAAAACCACCTTGAGGTGAGCAGGGCCTGGTAAGATGAAGGGCCATTGGGCAACAGCCATGAATAAGGAACAGCTTTTTTTTTTTTTTCTATAGGCAAAGGCTGTGGCTTCACAGGTCTCACAACAGGTCATCCCCAGGGCTGCCTGGACGCAGTTCCCTCTGTGGCAGAAGGCGACAGTTCTTCTCTGTGAGGACAGAGGTGGAAAATCTTGGGCCTCCTTGCACCAGGAGATGGGGGCAAACCTGCCCATGGGCAAGCAGCAAGGAGGGGCAAGTGGTTCAGGGGTCCGTGTTCTCCGTCATACCATGTCCTGTCCCTTCCCCAAGCAGGACTGTCTCCCTGTCTCTCTTTGAGGCTGACCCATCCCACCAGGTTATAGCAGCAGGTTATAGGAACCCAGTGACCAACTGGGTTCAGGAGCAGGAAAGTGCCGCTGGTGTCACTCCCAGGGATCCCTTTCAGACTTACTCACTTAGAGAAGGCTGCATACACGTTTCTTTGTCCGGGTGGGCTGCGGGCAGAGGACTGCTCGGATGGCCTCGTCAAACACCGTCTTGAGGCCGCGCTGCGTCAAAGCCGAGCATTCGAGGTATTTCACGGAGTCTGTCGGGAGGAAAGCAGGTGCTGTAATGGGGAGGAAGGGAACTGGGGAAGGCAGTGGGGGTACCCAGGAATCTGCTGCCGAGGGTGCTCAGAAGAGAAACACACAGAAGGAATACTACAGATAGCGTCAAGCAGAAAGAGATGCATGGGCCTGTTTCACCAACACGTTTCTGGCTCACATCACTTCACAGCCACAACACTCTCCTCCCTCAGTGCCCATTTTACAGTGTCCTGAGGCACCTACACACCACGGAAACACCCCCTGAGTCTCGTCTTGAGATGAGGTCTCAGGTCTCCTCAGGTTCAAATGTCATTCAGACTGCCTGGCCTCAAGCACCTCTGGTGGCATCTCAAATCACATGGCACCTCCCTTTTGGGACTCTGTACCCCCAAATTCTCAGAGGCGTTGTGCTGGAAAGCAAGGCACCTGGTTTTTGCCTGAACTGAATAAACACAGCACAGGTGACCAAAGCCATTAAGCATTACCAGGACACACTTCACTCGCCCAGGTAGTCTTGACTTGAGGACAAAACTTGCCAGCTGTACAAGACCAGAGTTTGCCTATTCTCCACTCTTGTAGCCAGAGCAGAGCCATCACGTGAAGCCGGCTATGTTATCCTGACCGGACACCCTCTCCTCCAAACTCCCGGTTGAAAACTTCTCCCTCAAGCTGTGTTTCCCAGCCTCTCTCCTGCCTCTGCAAGCTCCATTTGAGAAGAGAGGTTACCTGGAACAGGCATTTGTGCATTTCCCAAAATATGGGAGGGAGCTGATGCCCCTGAGATGAATGGTGGGGTGTGACACACATACTCGGGGGGTTGCAGGTATAAGCCCCACTAGTCAGAGGCAGGGACGGGAAGCTGCAGTTGCAACTCTTCCTGAGAGATGTTAGAAAACTCACTCTCTTCCGCTTCTTTCCGGATGTGGAGAAGAGGCCTCTGCCCACACAGCAGCTGCGGCTTTCACAGAAAAATATTGGCCCAAATAGAAATAGCAGAGTAAAAGGGGAGGGGAATGAGCAAGAGAGTATTTGTGCGTGTCTATATAGTGTGGTGGCCAGAGGGAGGCAGAAAACAGAGGGTTGAGGCTTCCTCAAGGAGCAGATCTCCTTCCTGAGTCTCCTGAAGGGCATTTTGTCCCATGACCCTTGATGTGTCTCCCTCTGTCCCTCAGAGATACCACTGTGAGATATCTCTACAAAAGCCTCATTGGGCTGAGGGGAAGCCCTTATCTTCTGCCTCTCTCCTTTCAGTAGGTCCAAGATGTTGCCCCAAGCACATACCGATTTCCTTAGCCAGAGCAAGGCCCTGAGGATAGGTAATGGGGGATAGCTTCTTCTCCTTCAGCTTCTCAATGGTGTCCTTGTCATCACGAAGGTCCAGCTTTGTGCCCACAAGGATGATGGGAGTGCTAGGGCAGTGGTGCCGCACCTCGGGGAACCACTGGCAAGGGAGCAAAACAGCAAAGATGTGAGAAGTCACACATACGGGCATGCACAAGGGAAAGAAAGAGGCACCCCTGAAAAAATGTCAGCAAGGTAGCTAACACCCTGTCCTTCCTCGCAGCCCTTCCATCCAGTGTTGGGCACTATAGCCTGGCCCAGGCCAGCCCTTGTTGCTGGGTCCTCATGCGAAATCCCTGGCATGGAGCTCAAATTCTGTTAAGCAAAAGCACAAGCTGCCCTTCACCCTTCATGGCTCCCTGGAACCCAAGGAGGAACCTGAAAGTGGTAGGAAGGAAATACTATGTTGTTCTCCTCCTCATCAATCTCTCCCTTCTTGCCTCACTTCCCATCCGAAGGCTGTGGGTACCTGCTTCTCATACCCTATGGACTGGTCCTGCTTGTCTGTGCTGTGACAGTCTTGGCTGGAAGATGCCGTCAGAATATAAGCCTGTGGTCCCACAGCTCAATAGCCCACCAAGATGAATACTAGCCTGTAAATGGGGTTGGCCACTTTCTTTGAGATGACCCAGAAAAGACATCTGAAGGAGGATCATATTTTAGTCCCTTCTGATTGTCACAAAAATGATATTACCCCTCTGAATCTCGAGGTCCTGTTAGCAGTTTCCACCCACAGTCACTCTCTTTGCAAGACCACCACCAATCTCACCCTCCTTAACCCCTAATGGACCAGGATATTGTGTCTCACCTTAGCACGGACGTTTTCATAAGATGCTGGGCTGACAAGGGAGAAGCAGATCAGGAAGACGTCCTGTAGGCATACAACCATGGTGCGGAGTTAGGATGAAAGCATGGGATTGCATGACAGGAGACAGGGAGGGTAGAGAAGATCTGGGTGGGCAGCGTCGTCCCTCTGCAGCAGAGGGTCATGCTAGAGAAAGCTGTCTCTCACAAAGTAACACAGTCCTGACTGCTGCTAATTGCCTCCAGAGGAGAGAAAGATATTTGCTCCCCTGACTCATGGTAACCATAGACACCACTATCAGAAGAGCCAAACGTTTAACTACGAGGATGGGGTTTTTGCGGTAGGCACAGTCATCCTCATGGGAAACAGCCTGACAGCGTCCTGCTCATTTCTCACAGAACATCGTCGAGCTTTCAGGCCAGAATAATTTTGCCTGCTGTTGAGACAGAACTAGGCTCAGCCCAAAAAGTGCACACGCAGGATGTAAATGAGGCGGAGTTTTGGTTATCCACGTAAGCGCTTCTCCTGGGCATGGCAGAATATAGACTTCCATTAAAAACAAAACAAAAAAACCCAAAACAAACCAGCTCTTCAGGGTTATATTTATTTCATCCAACTTCACCTAGCTAAAACAAGGGTGTCAGGCCCAGGCTATCTGTTTACATACTTTTACAAGTATCAGAGGCAAGAACCTTGCAGAACAGTTCCCCCACCTATCCTTGGGTTGTGTCCCAGGGTGGGTGCAAGCATGTTGTTGAGAAATACATCTGCTTGCACTGACTGCAGAAGGAGCCTAGGCAAACAGCTTATACCAGGAATTCAACTTTTAGGTGGCTGAACCTAGCTGAAATAAATAGTGCCCTCAATTCCTAGCCCTTTTTGTTGCAATGGCAACCTTCAGACCAACGCCTGAGGCAGCAGGGTCTTTCTGAGCTTGCCAAGAGACTGCTTAGAACAACATCCTCCAGAGAAGGTGACCTTTAAACCCTGAAATCACTCTGTCAATGTGGTTAAAAACTGGTGAACACAGTATCTGAGACATCCATTTGTTCTGCTAGAGGCTTGGGCTTAGTTGAGGCATCAGCAGATCGAATACATGTGTCCATACATCAGATCCCTTTTAAAAGGCAGAAGCCAGAATAGCGGGGTTTGCAGAAATGCAAGAAGCTCCTGTGTCAGCTCCTAAATTCCCTGAGCCACTTGATCTTCACAAAAGGAAGGGTTTTTACCAGGGCTGTGTAAGGCATCTGCCCCACACTGAAATCAGTGTCAGCTGGGCTCATAAGTACCTTCAGCTGGGCTCATAAGTACCTTCAGCTGGGCTCATAAGTATCTTTGAAGATATCGGTTTTGTTGGCAAGTTATACGAGTAATGAAGTTTAGATAAAGGCTCCAAAAGACTCTCAGATATCTTTTACCTTTAGGGTTTCAAGGCACTTGTATATCAACAGAGGTATTCTCAGAAGGAGGCAGAGAAAGACAGGAACAGCCCTGTCACTGTTTTGATAAATGTTGATTTTTGCAGTGGGGGATGGAGATATATCTGAGGGAGGAACAAGGGAGGAGGGGCATGGAGTGTGACCCACCGTCTGCGGGTAAGAGAGCGGCCTCAGCCTGTCATAATCTTCTTGTCCAGCAGTATCCCATAGCCCCAGATTTACAGGTTTGCTGTCAACCATCACGTTGGCAGAATAGTTATCGAACCTGAAATTCAGAGACATAGGCTGTGACTCAAACAGGAGAAGAGGGACCCCTTCCAGTAGTGTTGGTGGGGTTCACTAGGTGCACCCACGAGCAAAGGGTAGTGATTCCTCTTCTCAGCTCACCTGGGTGATGCTACCTTACCAAATTCCCATGCAGCATCAACCTCCTTCCCATCACCCAGCTGTCCTGGACAGGTGTCTGGCTGCAGCGCCACCTTTGCCACCTTGTGTGCAGATCCATAAACCCTTCAGTTTCCCACTTCTTTCCCCGGTATCCTTCTCACAACTGCGTCTGCTCTAGCCAAGCCCCTGTCTTTCTTTTGTGCTCTAAACCCCAGCTTTCTCCTTAAAAGTGAAGAAGAACCCACGTCTCTAGCTCTCCCAGAGCCCTGCACTCCTCAACAACCCTGCTGGAACTGAGACCAATGTGCCAAGATGTGTCCCTTTACTCTAAAAACCCAGCATGGAATATTTGAGAAGAGCTATCAGGATTGCATGCTTGGGAGCAAAGACTTAATGGAAAAAAAAGGATATTAAATCAATATAGATGTTCCTCCCCTTGTCCTAGAAAATTTTATTTCTGGTTCCTTTTGTTTTGTTTTTTTTTTTCAGGCTAAGGTGAGGGAAACCAGTGATGGGAAGGAACCAACACAAAGACCTTGTGAATGTGCTCACAGCATACGCCGCTGTTGTAAGATAAGCCATGCGGTCCAGGAGCACAAAATGGCCTCCCTTTCACATCTCCAGACACAAGCTTCAGACAGTAGGAGAAATGGTGTGTGACACACAAAACACATAGCCACTTTGTGTCTACATGCTAGGAAGGGATGGTGCCCCTCCACTTCTGAGAAACGATGGGTTCTTGCTGCCACAGCCATTTTTTTTCAATGTCTGCTGCAAATTGCTCTGGAGAAAAAGGTGAGGCTCTGAGATTTTCCTGTACCTGTCCTTCCCAAGGAATCTGAACCTGAGCTGGTGGTCTGACACACTGTGCCTAGCTCCTTTTCCCACTTCGGTGAGCATGCCGTCATACTCCACATCCCAGTGGTGTGGTATGTGTGGTGTGCATCCCCAAACATATCCCCATGCACTGTGGGGAGACAAATGCATCTGACTGCTCAAACTAAAGCAACCCTGATTTTGTTCCTTATTCCACCAGTCTTTAGGTCTGTCTCAGCCTCATGCATACATCTGCTGGATTGCATAGTGCTTCTACTCTGGCATTAAGCTGAATCCTGCACTCTTACCATCAGGGTTATCAGTGCCTGCTCCAATGACAGTGGGTGCCTTGGTCAAGGAAGGAAGTGGGGAGCCCTGTCCATCCAACTGTCTCCTCTTGGGTCTGGCCCAATTTTTACTGCCTGGTGCCTGGTTGTTTTGCCTAGCAGGACCCCGTCTACTACTTTTAAACTTAGCAGGCAGATAGGCTTGGTTTGTGTCTCCCAAACACCCCATTTATACCAGGGTTTTATAAGGCCACTTGTGCTGGTGAAAGGTGACAGATCCAAAGTGTAGAGGCACCTTCACTGGTTTGGCATCCCTTCCTGGCACGGAGATCGCGACCCTGCCTTCAGAGTGCACAACAAGGGGTTTCTGCACCCCATTGCACCCTGCTCTCCATGCCTCCCACCCACCCCAGGCCCTGTTTATGCATCACTCACACAGTGGGGATGTATTCTCCTGGGAAGGCATTGGTGGTGTAGCTGATAAGGAGACAGGTTTTCCCCACAGCTCTGGAAGAGAAAGAAAAAATAGCACAAGTTATGGTAGTGTAGGCAATCTTGCTAGGGTAAGATGGGGATGGGGCAATCCTTCCACACCTCTAAGCTAGCCCTGTCAGGAGACCCCTGGCAGCAGAAACATTCACAGGACCAGACAGCGCATAACCGTAAGTTAGACAACCAGCAGGAAGAAAGACAGGATGTCACCCAGAAATGTTTGTTGTCTTTGAGCACGAAGGCTTGTTTTTACGTTCTGGTACAGAGATCACTCAGCTAAAGCGCATCCACTCTGAGATGGAGGCGAAAGCCCATTTTCCAGTGCGTGCACGGTGCTGTACGCTCACAGCCACGGGTAGGTGTATTGATTCGGTGTGGGAGTGCCATGACAAAGCTGCCCAGCCAGCTACAGCCCCTGAACACAGGCACTCCAGCCTGCTTCTGCAGGTGCTGTGGCCAGGAGCTGGTAGCACCTCTTCTTGATAGAGCCACAACACTCCAGCCTTGCCTGCCTGCGGTGAGCTGCAGCTTTGCCCGCAGAGCGAGCTGTAAGTGCCTCTCCCTGTGGCTGCTGGAGGCTGCTGGTGGTGTTTCTGAGCTAGAAGCTGGTGCTTCCTCCCTCCTCAGCCTCCCCCACACTCATGCTGCAGCAGGCTGAAGCGAAAATAAGCCAGGGTAGCAGCACAGTCCAGACTGGGTGAGAGCGTTGTTGTGAGGGAGGTGGGAAAGGGAGCAGTAAGGCTATCAAGGGGAGGAGAAGGTGTCGTCGGCAAGGTGTAAGGCTATGGTGAGGGCAAGAAGTGGAGAGAAACTGGAAGAAGATAAAGCAGCCAGGACAGGTGTGGGATGGAGAATCCTTCTCCTGCTGGGCTGCTATTTCTCAGGTCTGTGCAGCCTGGGAAAGTCTGGTCATGTTTCAGTTACAGCATGTGTAAAATGGAGGTGGTGAGAACAACCTGGCTCCTCAGCCTACGAGCACAGGATGAGGAAGATGTCTTTCCCAAGGGGAAAGGCTGGAGTCTCGCTGCTGGCGATGCTCCAACCACCTCAGCTGTACCTGCAAAGTCCTCCCTCGCAGCCCTGCAGCCCTGCCTTTTTGTGTGCCACCAACAGGCACAGCTGGCATCTTCTCCCTGGTCCTGAGGCACCTGCCTTGGTCACTGCACTGTGGGGCAGCTGAGAAGGAAACTGAGCTCTTCGATGTGCTCTGACACTTATTTCTTCCTTCTGCCACCTCCCTTTCTTAGATCCTCCTCTCTCAGTCCCTTCTCTTTCCCCAGCTCCCTTGCTTCCCTCTTATCATAAAGATATTGAGGGATGCCCATGGAGGCTTCCTGAAGCTCTATAAGTAATGGCTCAGGAGATGTATGGGACTGTGGGTGGGTCGGTCATGGAAGCGGGAACGGTTCTGAATTAGTGTGGTTGAACAGAGAGGAGCAGAAAGGGTCAGCGAAGGGGTGAAGGTTACAACAAAGCTGTTGAGAGAAGAGGTGAGGTTAGCGGCACCTGCAAGTTCCTGGGACTGAACTCAGGGAGTGTTAAGAGGTTGGTGATGTGTGATGGAGGGAGCTATGGGGCCAGAACAGCTATGGGGCAACATGAGGGGCTTAGCTGAGTGAGAGCAGAAGGTCCTGTGGTCAGTAAGGTTGAGCAAAGGAAGGGTGACATGGCTGGTATCACTGGGAGGGAGGTGAAGGGTGGTGAACCAAGAGCTCAGAGCAATGGGGAGGTGACCGGACTGCTGTGTTGCAAGATGGTGAGAGGGGAGGTGCAGTGTACAGAGAAGCAAAATGACAGGACAGAAGATGTTTAAGAGGAGTTGCAGTCAGAAGGGCTGAGAGCAGGACGTGTTGTGGGGTTAGCCACGATAGAGGGGAATGCTGCCTTGAAGGATAACTACAGAGTTGGTGCAAGGTGTGAAGGGGAAACTGGGGGGTTAACAGCGCAACAGATAAACGCCCAGTGGATTTGTTTATCCAGCTCTAGCTTGCTGCCTTCAGGGGACTTTTCTTAGAGGTAACGGTGTTTATCTGGGGCTCTGTCCTCCCTTGTCCCTTCTCCCTGTCCCCTTGCTCCAGCCCCTGAGAGTATGTCTAACATCTACTGTTATGTTTGCAGATGTCTGCTTCCCCGGGCGAGTTTTGCAGGAGGAAGTGACGGTGGGGAGCAGGGCTGCTGCAAATGTCTCTTCATCTGCTACCTGATAGCTGCCCCAGATAACAGGCTGGCCAACTCCTAGCTGGGAAATGAATTAACCTACTCCGTGCCAAGTGTGGACTCTCCTCCCCTCCCTCTCCTGCATCTACTCATCCCACCGGGCAGGAGGAGGCCCTGTCCGCCCCATCCCTCCCACCCCCGGCAGGACGGACTGCTTCACTTATTGATGGCTTAGATCAGGCCATTTCCAGGGATGACAGGACATGGGCAGTGATGCTGTCATGCTATGAAGGCAAGGTTGTGTTACCTCCCACTCCCAAAGTAGCATATACTTGCGCATATCTCAGTGGATAGAGCTCCTCCTCCTTGTGACCAACAGAAACCCCTTGCCCAACAGTCTCCCCCACAGCCCGATGCAGAGATAATGCACTGAGAAAAGGTGAACACAGAGATACTGGCAGACATCTCATCAGGACCACAGTGCCGTGCCCTCTCCCCGTCAGTCCCAGTGAGCAGATGGCATTCAAGGAGCCGTTCGCCTGCAGGAGAGCGCTTGCATCTCTTGGGTTTTAAATCTGACTCCTGCCTACAGGTTGAATCTGGCAGCACCACCACCACCTCCTGTGCGTGGGACAGACCCGCTCCACTTTCCATGCCCCCTTTGCAGATGCCCTTCAAAATGGCCTCTTCCACACCCTACCCAGAGGAAGGTCCCGTGCCCTGGGGAGGGAAGAGCGAGCGAGAGAGGGAACGCAATCCGCAGGAGGTCAGAAGCAAAGCCGGGGAAGTTTCACCAAGCAACCACCTTCTTTCTTGCCCCTTGTCACTGCCCCTCCCTCCCCGCATCCCCAGCAAACCAGCGGGGTACCTACCCGTCTCCCACCACGACACACTTGATGGCTTGCATGTCTCTGGACCCGTGGCAGAGGACAGCGCCAGGGGCAAAGCTAAGTCAGGCCAAGGCAAACAGTCGACGGGCAAATTTGGGTATCAGCCCCTGTGCTGCAGTGAGCAGCAGGTTGCAGGGAGGGAGGAAGTGGAAGAGGGAACTTCACTCAACGATCACCCTCCGGTCCTTCCTCCCCTCCCACCGCTGCAGCAGCCCTGTGGCTGAGGCCGTTAGCTGAAGGCGGGGCATGCATGACTTCATGGTTGGGATCATGACTGCTGTAATTTTTTTTTTTTTTTTTTTCTCCCCACGTATCTCACCCACTCCCTTCCCACCCCATCCCAGCGTACGGCTGGGGGCACCAAACTGCTTTTACAGGGGAGCTGAACAAGGGCTAGAAGCTTGGGGAGAAAGCAGAGGGGTGGATTTCCTCCTCCCTCCTTTATCGTGCAAACTTTGGAGGAGGTGCAAGCGGGGAAGGGAATCTGAAGTGGGAGCAGTGGGGTGACGTGGGGCAATGAAGATTTTTCAGGTCTTCCCGGCGCCCCTGAGTGTCAATGGCGAAATGTCACAAGGAACAATGTTTTCTGTGAAGGCTGAACAAGGAAGTTAAGCAGCCTCTAGGAAGCAGCAGCCACCCTGTGGCTGCTCTGTCCCTCCTCTCGTCTGGTGATAAGGTCCTACCGCACTTCCCCACCTGCCCAGATTACTAGTGCAAAGAAGTATGGTGTGAACCCGTGTGTTCACCACGAAGTGGAGCAAATGCATCGAGGGATGCAATGAACTGTTTTCTTTCCCCTGCCAGTACTATGAGAGCCGAGACTGGTGGATGAGAGGAGCCCCCGCAAACCAGCTTCTCCCTGTCCACCCTCTCTCCTACTTCTGTGCGAAAGCAGCCAGTGGGAGCTGCTGCCAGACTTCTTCCATCTTGTCATGGAATCACAGAACGGTTTGAGTTGGAAGGGATCTTTAAAGGTCATCTAGTCCGCTCCCCCTCCAATAAGCAGGGACATCTTCAGCTAGGTCAGGTTGCTCAGAGCCCTGTTCAACCTGACCTGGAATGGTTCCAGGGATGGGGCATCTACCACCTCTCTGAGCAGCCTGTTCCAGTGTTTCACAACCTTCATCATAAAAAATTTCTTCCTTATATCTAGTCTGAATCTACCCTCTTTTAGTTTAAAATCATTAGCCCTTGTCCTATCACTACAGATCCTACTAAAAAGTCTGCCCTCATCTTTCTTATAAGCCCCCTTTATGTATTGAAAGGCCACAATAAGGTCTCCCCGGATCCTTCTCTTCTCCAGGCTAAACAACCCCAGCTCTCTCAGCCTGTCCTCATTGTTCTCAGAAGATAAAAGAATTTTAGAGCTAAGCAGCGAGGAGAATAAGGAAGCAATCACGCTGAGAAAGAAGAGACAAGGAGTAGAAAGATCCCAGGAGGCTCTACTCCTTCCTTTCCCTTCTCAAAATGAGGGTCTGCCTCCTCTTCTTCCCTTCTCCTCCCATGCAACACTAAGCCTGGAAAAGTGCCTATGTGTGCACATCTATCTGTGTGCTCCAGCCTGAAGGGATGAGTGGATGGGCAGGAGATGCATTTTGTAGAAGAAGGGATGTGGTGACACAGAATTAATAAGAATTTCCAGGCTTTGTCAGGAGACCAGTTAGACCAAGAACAGCGGGTTTTCAGCTGGGATGTTCCTGAAGGAAGGAACTCTGAGGGGAAGTGTTTCTCCAAAGTTTGGTGACCTCTGTGCTGCTGCAGCCACGGGAGGCTGTTGCAGCCAATCTACTCGGGAGAAATGCTCCCCATCCGTCACTCAGCGCTGGCTGCAACCCAGAAACCTTCAACTGTGGAACGTTTCCAATTCTTGCAGCTATTTCCGAAGCACAAAGCGACCAGCTGTACTAGGTGTTCCCTCTGTGGGTGGTAGGGAAGGGGGAGGAAGGAAACCCACTGACTCCTCTGCAAGTGAGAGCAGGAACAGGCCATAGGAATACAGGTCAGAGAAGGACAGAAGGGAGAGTGACAAGGCTGTTACAGGGAGAGCAGCAGCAGGAGCTGGAAAGGGCAGGCAGGTGTAAAATAGAGCGGGCCAGGAGATAGGGACTCAGTCAGAAGAGAAGACGGGTATATCTGGCTCTACAGAATGCTACTGGTGGATGGAGAAAAAACATTACAGCTCCCTGGGCAATTGGACACATTGAAAGGTCTCTGTGGGAGACATCTGGGTGCCAAGTGAGGGCCCATGGAGCTGGAACTGGTGGAGTCCCTAAGGATTCAGGGAGCTCTAGGTTGGGCAGGCAGCCTGGGACAGGCAAGCAGGAACCTAACCCCGTTCCGGGCATTGCTGAAACTGCATTCGGAATCAGCTTCTCCAAAGGAACATTTCCACTTTCACCAGATCTTTTCTCTGAAGGTTTCCAATAACCCTTATGTGCCTGGGGAGAAGCAGGGTGGGAAGAACAGAGAGTGAACACCTGGGGTGGGAAGGATGTGGGCTGAGGGCAAAAGAGCTGGGGAGAGCTGTGGAATACCTTGAGTTTTACCTGGGATGGAGTAACAGTCATGTGAGGATACTGGGGCTAGGGATGGCATTCAGGCTAAGGGAGACTGGATGGAAAACCGGCTGGTGGCACAGAAGGACCTGGTGGCAGGGACAAAAAAGGACCACTGACCTGCTGAATGCTGCTGTGTGCTTTTGTCCTTGTAGTCTGGCTTGTGGGACTGGCAGCATCAAAAGGACTGGAGAAGAAGACAAGTTAAAATTGGTCAGGGAGGAGGGTCTGTTGTTGAGACCCCACATCCAGGTGAGCCTCATGTCAAAGGCACTGTAGTTTTGTATGACCAACAATGAGCTGTGGAAGTGCTGGCAAGAAGGTATACCTCCAACCCACTTCTGAGCAAATTACTTTTGGAAGATCATTGCCTGCTACTGCTACGGATAGTCAGTTCTCGTCCAAGTCAGAGGTCTGTGCTGTGAATCTATAAACATCCCTCCTCTGCCAGTGCCTCTGTAGAGGGATGATAGGGATCTACATAAAGGCTTTTTAGGGTGTTTCTTTCCATCATATTTAAATTATTAAAAATGGGATATTACCTTCAAATAATACATATTGTAATCACTCTGAGAAAAAACCTCTCGGTTGTGCATGCTGCAGGAAAGGAAAGGAAACTGCAGGAAATAGGCCTGTAACCCCCAGCTGAGCACAGACAGATCTGCTGCTGCTTTGATGTCCTCTCATACCACCAAGAGGTGCTCTCGACATGAGTTTCCTTCTGCATGTGCAGTGGGGCTGAGGGGAGGCAGGCACCCATCTGGGGTTTCTTGTTCCCTTTGCTGAGTTTGAGGAAGATTCTAACGGGAAAGAATTGCTTAGTGAGTCAGTTTTGCTCTGAGAGACTTCCAGGACCCTTGTGGGATGGCGGGCAAAGGAGGAAATGCGTGATACCAGTTTCCCCCCCCCAAGGATCCAAAGCAGTGAGGACTGCTCCATCTCTCCCTCTCATTCTGTGGGGTTCTGCTCCCTCAGGGAGGATGGGAAAAGGGTGAGGGGGGCTCGTTCAGAAATGATGTTCATTTCTTCACAGCCCTGCACAGAAGGGCAGGAGCTGAGCAGGTTTGTCCTTCAGAACAGACAGTAGCAGGGGGAATCCTTTCCTGTGCGGAACACAAGGCTCATTTCTTTGCATGCCCAGGGCATGGCCACAGCAGGTATTCTCATTACCCTGGGCCCTGATGGGATTTATTTTATGTGAGCTATCGCTCAGGCAATCCTGAGTGGCCATGAGACCTTTTCTGTGTGTGCTGGGCCTCCACCAAGGAAGAGAGTAATTTGCTTCAGCCTGGCTGGGCTGCAAACTGTCCCCACTTGCTATATTCCCCTTTTTGCCTCTTCCCACTTCCCCATTCACACAGCTTTGTACCATCTGCCTCCTGCTTTTAGTTCTTGCTTTGCTGCTTCTCTTCACCAAAACTCCCACCCCTCCCTGTCGCTGCCCCCCTCTCCCCTCACTGCTGTGGTTTCTCACCGCCTGCCGTGCTTGGTTGAAAAGCCTGCCCTGAATTCAAAGCTCAGGTCATAACTGAAGTGGGGCGATGCACCTCAGGCCATGACGTTCTGCAGTCCCTGCTAGAGAGGCTGCAGAGTTGCTTCACATGGGGTCTGTTTTCTAACATGGCCATACCAAGGGCTTCTGTAGCCTAAATTTACCCTGTCAAGCAAAAGCTTAGGAAAAAAATGAAGTTTCCGATCCAGCCTCACTAAACACAAACTACTTATATTTACAGCATAACTCATAAGCAAGTCAACTTGCAAAGATTGTTTACTGAGTCTTGGACCTGTCTTACTCATGGGCTTTTCTGGAGACCAGCCCTACTGCAGTGAGGGGCAGCTGGTCTATTCCTCATACATTGTGTCATGGACGCTCCTCTGTCTTCAGAGTGTGACCCTCTCAACCTTTCCAATTTGGGGCAAAATAGCAGGTCCACTGCCATTCTCCTATCTGGAGCACTGAAAGAGGTTCACCTCCTCCACCTCTTCTCCACTGTGTGCCTGGGTAAGTGGAAGACCATGGCACAGACTTTGGTCAGCAAGTTCTTTGTGATGGCTGATTCACACTTGCACTTCCCTCGGCTGAGAAGTTGTTTGCAGACTCTAAATCATACTGGGTTTTTATGGCTTGGCCTTATCTGCTTCTCTGTGCTTCTGCAAGTCCCCAGTGATTCTGATATGGATTTCCACTCTTACAGACATTTTGTTCTCAGCCAGTGACAACTCCCATCTTGCTGATACCATTCCGTTACTTAATGGTGATATACAGATCTGTATCTGACTGTGCATCCTTTCCCATGAGGTGCTCAGATGGTTCAACAACATTTTTCATCTGCCTGTTGTAGAAGGGAGGTAACAGGGACTAGAGATTACATGTGTAAATTCTAACTTGAGTGTCAACTGCTTGACTTGAATCCCCTGCCTGCTAGCACTCTTCATACGTTATCAGATGCTAGATATACTATGTTTTGTGAAACCAGATCCAATACATATCTTTACTGGTAAGCTATGGTATCTTCTAGGAAGCCTGCATCAGGGAAGTGAAAAGAGCTGTTTAGAGCACTAACGACATCTATAGCTACTCTGTTTTACAAGACTAATATTTCCTGAACTACCAAAGTAAAATCTTTTGCTTGACTTATACCATTTTTTTTCAAAGGCATAAAGCTTCAATTTTGCTGCACTTCCGAGTCTAACAAAAAATCCCTCTGGCTCTTTATTCAAGTTTATCAGACTCTAAGTGACCCTCCTGTAATCTTTATAAGAGGTTTTTTTATTTCCTGTGGCCTTTTGTAATCATCATCTTTCTACCTTTAAAATAGACTCCAGCTCCTTGAATTTGTAAAAGCAGTTCAGAATAGGCTATTCCAGGTACTCTGCACTAGTAGCTTTACTTACTGCCTGCATGTTTGCATCCTGAGCTACTGCTCTGGCTGTCACAGTCTGTGTTGCTCCTCACACTGAACAAGGATTATTTTATTCCAATTGTCATATGAAAAATCCTGTTATTGTCTTTGCTCTAGTGCTGTTTTACCTTGCATCAAAACACCGTCTGTGCAGCTCATAATCCCCACAACACTGTGTAAGAAGTGCTACACTCTCTCCTGACATACTGCAGTCCCTAAACGCAACCTGAATGGCAGTCTAAACCTCCTGAAGGGGCTATTGAATTTGTACAGACCTGTACTTTGTCTCTCTGTGAATAGTTGTGGGAATACAGTCGACATGTTCAGCACAGAGAAATATATGGCATGCTGTCGTTGTCTTTATCCCCTTGGAAGTAGTAGGAAATATCTATATTTCCTTTTTATTTACAGAATTATTTTAAGCCTATACAAAGTAGTATAAAAGTGCACCCACGCTGTTGTTTTGATATTTTCCTTTGTGGCCACCAGAACAACAGATATTTCCAGCTCCAGTTTAAGTCCCTGTGTACAGTCAGGGAGCATCCTGGGAGAAAAAATGGTTCGTGGCACAGGAGGCACAGGGAGCAGCCTGGAGTACTGCTCTGCAGCAGTCTGCCTAATCTGCCCATGCCTGACGACGTGAAAGCTGCTGGACCAGCCTGGATGCCCCCGTTGCACACACTCCCACCTCTTGCCTGCACAGCCCCAGCCTGAGTTAACCGCAGCTGGGAAGGATGTGCAGTGGCAGAAGCAATTACTGGATCTAACCCCAGTCCTGTATCAGAAGAGCTGATTTCCAGGGATCTGCTTATTCCTGTCCCTATTCCCAACAGCTCTGGAGGCACAGGAGAAGCACTGCTTTACCTGTGGGTGGTGGATGTGAAGGCGTGTGATAGCAGGGAACAAAAAGGGCCAAATCTCACCCTAATCCAACCCAAGGCATATCTGACCTGTCCCAGTCCCCTTCACTTACTCTGATATTATGTCATCCCCTCAACACCCACCCAGTCCTCTTGTCCTCTTGTTGACATCTCTTCTTGCACAGCTAAGAGAACTTTGTTCGCACTTCTGAGCCAGGTACATCTTGGAGCAAGGAGTAGCCATTCCCAGCTCTACTCTTTGCCTTGTTGAAATAATCTCTATCACCTGGAAAATGTTCTTTGGTTCTTCCTCCAGTCTGCTGCACTTCCAAGGACTGCATTCCTTGGTGAGATATGCCCTTGATCTCATCTGGGTTGCTCTTTTCCCAGATGTTGCTGTAGTCATCACAGTGGGGTTTTTTAATGTATAGGCCACAGGTTTCTCTAGAAGGAGGAAGATGCCAGCATCAGTGCCCACTATAAGAGTCAGTTCCCTGGATGTGGGTATCTTTCAGCATAAGTTGATTTTTGCTGCATGTTGGATTCTCCTTGCTTAGGCTGTATCTGACCTAGGCTGTATCTATGCTGGCCTTGTTGACACCACCAGTGGGAGAACCCATGTGCTCTGAGCCACTGGCTATGGGCTAACTCTGGCCACACTGTATAGCATTTAAATCTCATCTCCCCTAGGATCCATTTGATGTTTCTATGTCCCTGGAGCATAATTAATTTTTATGTGTTCTTTCTTGGTTGCTTGTTTGCTTGCTTTTTTTTGCTTGCTTTTCTCCTTGCTAGCTTTCCTGCTTTCTTCCTCTCCTTTTTTCTTCTCCTTTTTTCCTCTCCTTTTTCCCTCTCCTTTTTTCCTCTCTTTCCTTCCTTCCTTCCTTCCTTCCTTCCTTCCTCTCGTTCTCCCTCATTCTCTCTGTCTTTGCCAATTCCTTTGGGTCCCGTCTCCCCCCCCTTTTCACTTGAAATAATGAGAGGATTGTGTTGTATCCCTTTAATGGTATTTTCATGCCATGACCACAGAACATGTGTTACTTACCTTAAGGGCATTTCCAGACACATTGCTGGCTGGGGTAGTGTTGGTATCCACCTGAGTTCACTGCAGATCTGTATTGTCTGTCTGGGATGCTCAAGCAAACTGACCTCTCATCTAGGTCTAGGTTTCCTCAAGAGAGCAACTGGTTGTTTTGCTCCAGGGTAAGCTTGGAACCAAACTAGTTTGTGCACTATGTGAATGAGTGGGGGACTAAGGACCTGGAGAGGGAGACATACTTACCCTGCACTTTGGAAAGAATGAGAGATGCTCTGGGCTTAGTTTAGTTATATCATCCTGTCTCACTTCTTGTGTACCCTCATGAGAGAACATCTCACAGGTGTTTCATTTTTACATGAAACAGATTTATGCAGTTTTTTAACGGTGCATTTCCCATTCAGACTCCTCTGGCTGAAATAACTGAAAGCATTTAAAGCGCATCAAGGCCAACCACTGTTAAAAGCAAGGCTACCAGAACCAGGAGAATGCAAGTAGTGGAGTTGATCGTTGCACTGAATTAGTAGGTAAGGTCTCAAAACAGGGCAGTCAGGGATTCCAACAGACAGGCAGTGAGAAGGAAGCATCAAGATGTTAAGAGATGAAGCAAGTATGGATTAGAGACACAGGTAGAGGTTTTGCATTGCTCTCTGTTGGAGTGGCTAGGAGTGCTTCTGCAGTGCACAGAGGCATCCATTTTGGTGTCTGCAGGGTGCTTGTGGTTTGACCTGCCCACACACACGTATAAGAACAGCCCTGATCAAGCTGCCTATATATGTCACCTATCTTTGAGGCATGCAAGATCAGGTCTTCAAAGGAAGTGCTTTAGGTTGGCGTGCCTGCTTGATGTCAGCTGCAATACAGCTGAAACAATTTTTTTTGTGGAAAATGATGATGGAAGGACTGGAGGTGATACCCTGGACCCAGCCCCAGTGCAGGAATTGGGACAGTGGGCCAGACCGTGTGGCGGTGAATTCTCCTCTGATGTGGCCCAGAATCTCAAGACAGAAATTGAGTTTACAATGGGTGGGATCTTGGCAATTTGTAACCCAAAGACAGGCCTCTGATAAATTTTAAGCATGGATATTGGGTGTAACAAAGGTCAGGCAGACAGGTTAGAGCAAATGCAAGAGACTGAAAGGGAGGGCAATCTGTGTCTTTCTTTGTGAGGTTGAATGACTCTTAGCTAGAGTGTTCAGGCAGATCCTACTCTTTGCATCAAGCCTTTTAAAGGCCCAGTTTTCTCTCCAGAGGATCTCAGACCAGACTTAGTTAATGGGAATGTGGGAACATAATAACTCGTCCTTTCTGAGTGAGTCAGGGACCTTCAGCCTCACAGGAGCATATTCTAAATGATGGCAATTGTACATAGATGCTAGCTCCAACTGTGTAACAAGTCAGAGGATCATTTCTTATTTTTCTACACATGCAATGTTCTTCCAAACTCTACCTTGCTGTCTCATGGAAAGATGGTAGGAAAAAGTCTGGACCTGTTTTGCTGTCCTGCTCAAGGCCTGCTGCGAGTACAGCAACAGGTCAGGGTGCTAAGTATGTAGAGCGCTTCAGAGGTAAGTGTTCACGCATGGAGAGGAGCCATCCCTCTACAGCTTCAGTCCCGCTAGAGGAGGCAAGAGCCCTGTTTGGGCATCACACCTGGTTTGAATTTTACCTTGACCTATTTATTCAATCACCAGTTCTTCTGGCTCTGACATGGTGCTTTCCTGCATGCTTCTTTTTCCTTACATTGCCTACATCAGAAGTCTACCACATAAATCACATGGCAACCAAATACAACTCAAGGGGAAGTGTACAGTCTTCTGGGGCTGTGTGGAGGGAATGGAGGAAAAAAAGCACCTGTCTCGCAGATGAACAGAGCAGCACAAGTGCCTTCAAAACAGTCCTGCTAATGCCAGCTCTCCTACCAGCAGGAATACCATTAAACTTGAGAGGACTTCATTCCTCCTCAATTCACACCATCCTTACAAGGCTTCCCAAGAAAAGCAGTTTGTTAGTGGGGAAAAAAAGGAGCAAGACTTAGAGTAGAAGTCACTTAGTGGGCAGTGAGGGAGGGAAAAGAAGAAAAAGACTCTCTTCTCCCTTCCATCAACCATCCTCCACTTTTGGAGGATTCATCTCCCCACTGCTTGCTGCAGAATTAACACAGGAAGAATCTTTCCTTTAAAATGAAACCACTTCCCGAATCAGATGGGTTTTCTGAATCAAGAACTTCCTTTTTTCTCCCCTCTCTCCGTGGATTATCTCAGACAAAAGCCCAAAGTACTATCAGCTTCTCACTGCTCATTTCAGTCCCCTCAAACAGAGATGTGTGCTCGGAGATTCCCCTAAAAAGCTGCTGGGATGGAAATGCATTTGTGGATTTGCATTTCAGAAGTAGCCAAGGAGCCCCCGTTAGCTCGTAGAGGTACGCACGTACAGTTTCCTTCACTGATGCAAACTCATGAGATGTGGTCAGAGGGAAGACGAGAGGAAGGGTGGAGTCAGAGGGCAACCCGCCCCCCAATGCTGCTGCGATTTTGGTCACTGGCTCCAAGTCGTTTCAGTTCTGTGAAGCATCTGAACAAGCAGAAGGCAAGGAGGAGCAACACTTCTCTTGAAAATATATTGCACTCTGCAGGATGGACTTTTGTCCTGCTGGTAAGCCTTGACTGTCTTTTGCCCTGTTTTCTGTGGGGGCTGTGCGCTCAGTTTGAGGGGGCAGAGCACACCGTGAAATCCCAGCAGCTAGAGTGGATGCTGCAGCTGGTGGCTGGAGGAATGAGGTGGTGGAAGATCCCTGGTGGTGCAGTTAATTGCTTGCCAGCCTTCTGCATTAGGCATGGTTTTCTTCTTACTTGCTCTCCCGTAAGGAAACTCCTTTCACATTGGAGAAATTTCCCACTGATTTGAATGGCCTTTGTGCTGAGAGTGTCTACTGCTTGTGCTGGTGATCCTGAGCTGAGAACTGACTCAGGGGTATCAAGGGTATATGTGACACTTGGGATGAGCACCTATAAGCTTTGGCTTCTCTTCATGCAACTCTAGCATGGCTTGCAAGCTCCTCAGCGGCGTTTCCCTACAGCCCCCAGGAGCTGGTTTGCCTTTGAGGAGCCTCTCATGCAGTTGGGTATCCCAGTGCAACATGCTTGCAAGGCTTTTTGGTACTGGGGCATCTCTTGTGTATATCCATGTTAAAGGTAAATGACTGTATTTGGATTCTACCAACACCAAGTGACCTGCAGGTGGGCCTGCCTGGTCCTGAAATAATCTCAAAAGGCAGATGTTGGGGGCGGGGGGGCAGAGATAAGCCACATCTGAGGAACTGAGAGAGATCTTGGGTTTTATTTCCTACTTTAGCAGGTGGTAAATAAAGTGGTTGGGATTCAGCAGGGAAAGGCATCCTGCCAGACTGAACGTTTCTAGCCTCTGGCTGAGGAAGCTCTGAGTGTGTGTCTGTGCAAAGGCAGCAGATAGGGAGAGCCGAATAGGAACAGCCTGAACAAGGGCCAGGAAGAAAAGGGATCATCTTGCACTGGCCCTGCTTTGTCTGACTCCCTGTCCTCACAGGCTTTTGCATATAGGATATAGAGCACAGAGTGAAGGGAAAAAGCAGTGCCCGGTCCTAGGTGGGTAGCCAAGGAAAGGGCACGCTCAAACCGCAAAGCAGCCTTGCTTGTCAGGGAAATTGGTGGGACCTATGGGAGCTGAGCTGTTGCCAGCATCTGGCTATGAATGTTGGTGAAGGTGGATCCCATCGGATCACCCAGCCCTCCCCACCTGAAAGCAACAGTGGACAAAGCTTCTGCAGGACAAGCGGGGGGGGGGGGGGGGGGGTACCTCATGTTTCACTACTTATATTGGGATGTGCTTTCCACAGAAACTGAGGCTCTCAGCACTGATGGTCGGACACAGTCATTCACTCAAGTTATGTGTTACTGAGTTAATTATGTCTTAAAGTTACACACTGCAATAGCACAATGAGCTCCTGCTCAGGGACGACGTGGGTTTGCTCAGCTCTGGCTGGAGGCAGAGCTGGGAGCTAGGCACTGCCTGAAGAGATGTGCTGGTTCTGACTGATGTCTTTGCTCAGTCCCAGCCTGTCACTTCACCGCTGCGTGGGAAAGTGGGTTGGTTTGATGCTGCTCTACCTTGGGAGCCAAGGCTGCCGCCAGATGCAGTTTTCCAGTGAGCTTTAGAGCACTGGATGTGTTTAAAGTTGCTCGGTTGTGGCATGATTTTCCTGAAGGTCAGAAATGCACATACACCTTTTCCTGGCGTCACTCCTACCTGGAGGTGCAATGGTCCTGTTAGGTACCTGTCTGCCACCGCTGTGTGCAGATGAGACATGTGTCTGTGGGGAGGCTGCTTTCCCTGCAGTGGATGTCCTCTTCCAGCTTCCTTCAGGACCTTCTAGCGACTGTCTGGGTGAGGCCACAGAGCCAGTATGCCAAATCCTTGAGCTGGGTGTGTGAAACATGGGAGAGCAGACTTGTACCATGGTATCATGTGCTAGGATGTGTAGGGTGAGAGCCACAGGCAAAAGTGCCTGGAAGCTATCCTGACTGCTGTAAGTTGACTTGTGGGATAAGGGGACCGGGAGACAACACAAATTCTTCTTCACACCTTTCCCCCCATAGCCGGAGTGTGCAAATTAAACCTGTGTGAGGTCCGTGTTGAATTTCTTCAGACACAAACTGGAAGAGAACTGTGGAGTGGCTGCAGGAGGGAGGCAGATTGGGCTGGAGGAAATTGAGGAGCTGGAAAGCTTCCTGGTATCTGCCTGGTACTAGCCTGGAACCTGGCTGGGGAGGTGGTGGTCTGTGCTGGAAATGACTCAGCAGCCATATCAAAAAAAGAAAAGGAATTTCACTTCTTCCATCAGACAGTCTCATCCAGGCAAGAAGGTGCCCATCAGGCTGCTCTGCTTGTGTGTTGCCATGGGTGGAGGTGCCCAAACCCTTTAGCAGCCACACTCAGAACCCTACATTGACTTGCAAATGGGCCAGCTGAACCTCTGCTGTTATACTGTGGGTGGGTAGCACATGGATGGTCTGTAACAGTGCTACAGATGCAGTCATTCTTCATAACCCTCCTCTGCTGTTTCTGCAGTCCATCCTTCCAGCTCTCCTGGGTAGTCACTGCCCACTTACCTCTGTGCTCCAAAAGCTATCTTCCTAGTCGTATGCTTTTGTTTGGGATTGAAAGCCTCACTTAGCACCCGGACGGCTCTGCACAGCCCTTTGCAATGGGAAGTGAGACCAGCAAACACAATACTCTGCTGGCCATCTGAGTACCCAGGCTTTTGGGTAACTCTGACCTGCCGTCCAGATGGGGAGGCTGAGGGCGTAAGTCACCACAATTGGAATTGAAGTCTGTGTTCTGTTTTGAGCGACAGCACTAAAAATACAAGACTGGGAAATTCACAAAGAACTGGCAGGTCTTTCTATCTGTGTCTGCCCTGAGACTGGGGAAACAATCTCAAGAGAAGGTGTAAGCCCCACAAATGTGATGCTGATGTGCTTTCCTTTCAACATCTGCTCTCTGAAAATAAATTCCAAGCAGCAACTTCATGTCCTCTCTGGAGAGGATGCTAGCCAGTTTTTTAATGTCTTGTGTCTGAACTGGAAGACTTCAGTGTTGGTTTGACTGACAGCATCCCCCTGAAACCTGCGGGTCTTTTCGTGGGGTGTTCTTCATTGGCGTGAGATTTCCCCCTGTGCAGAGAACCCTGACCAGGGCTATGCTTCATCTGTGTCCTGACCTAGCCCTAGAGGGAAGTGGAACTTGGTGGTACTGAGGCTTTTGACGAGGCTGAAGCTGTTCCTCAGTCCCCTAGTGCAGGGATGAATTCCCTCTGCCATTGCAAAGGTCTGGAGTGAGCCAGGCAGTGTGTCACTCGGAGTGTCCCTCTCCTGCCAGCTCCGCTCATTCTCAATGTGGAGAGGGAAGGAAAGGCAAAACAGCCTGCTCTCATTATCTCGTCTGCTGCTTGCCCAGCTGCCTCTGCTGCCTTTGCTGCTTTTCTGTGGACGTTTCCCCAAACAAGCCTTTTGTGTTCGCTGCCCCTAACTGTAGACCCCAATGTGTGCAATAACATTGATGAATGGCCTCAGAACAGCCTTGAGCAGAGCATTACGCTGTCTGTTAGGGAAGCAGAGTAACATGTAGGTGCTGACCTCAGAATTATTTTCCAAGGCAATCAGGGACTTCAGCTGCTTAGGAAACTTAGGAAACCTTACAAGGACCCTCTCTGCAGCTCAGTCTAAGGTGCTCTGAAAATTTGATCCATCCATTTTTTAACTTACTATGTCACCTTTTGCTATTTTTTTATCCCTTGATTCCCTCCCCTTCTCCATGACTTGTACGCTTTTTCTCCCCCGCCGTCCCCACACACACAGTCCTTCCCACACTTTTCTCATTCTGACAAACTGGACAGATAAATCACTCAGGACTTGGGGTTTTCAGATGTTCAGGAGGAACGGGGACTGAGTTATTTACAGTCATGGTGGGGATCATGTGGGTGAGATGGTGTCCTCTGGGAGCCTCATATCTCTTTGAGGTGCTTTAGGCTGCTTCAGTAGACACAGAACAACTGAAGCAAAGCAACCAGCCACACCACAGACTTTGCTGATGGGGTGGGGGAAGAGAAGGTTCCTCAGGTATGTTCTGCTACGGTGCTTTTGTGGAAAGAAATACAAGACAAAGGGTCTTAGTGATAATTTGTCAAGGAATCACCACAGTGATTCCACAATTACAAGACCCCATAGGGGTGAGAGAGATAAAGCTGAGGGGACCAAGGTGTTGGCCTCACCTCCTGCAGATGCTAGAATGGCAGGAGACATAAAGTAAGCTGAAAGACCCAAGCACCGCTCACAAACGCAGGATTGACATTCAAGGGGAAGTCAGCAACCCGCCTAACAAGCAGCAAAGCCACTGCATGGGGGGGGGGGGCTTGTTGTTGTTGTTGTTTCTTTTTGGTTGGTTGGTTTTGGTTTACTTGCTTGCTTGCTTGCTTGCTTGTTTGTTTATTTGTTTTCCCCTCACATACAGATTTGGCTGTTGCGAGCTGCTGGATGCCACAGGTTTTCTTTCCCTCTTGACCAGCTTCAGCAATCAGCTTTCAGCTCTTCAGGAGGGCTGCTCGCAGAGCTGGGAGGGGACATGGGTCCTTCCCAGCCCTGGCTTCATGCTGGCTTCTTGCCCAGTGCTTTCCTCCCAGAGGCTCAGCAGCCTCTCCCCAGGGAATGCAATGCTTGAAAACAGCAGGAGAGAGGCTGCAGCCTGAGAAGAGTGATAGGACAGACTTAGCACAGAGAAACCCAACCAGCTGGGAGGATGGGGGGAAGATTAGGATCGGGTAAGGCAGATCTCTCTGAGCTGTTGCGGCCATGACAGGAAAGAAGCATGTAAGCTCTGAGATAACTGCCCTTGTCCCCTTTTCCTTCTGTCTGTCTTGGCTAGTTCCTTCCCCTTTTTCCCCACTCATATTTATAGCAGTTGTTTTGCATGTGAGATCCACACTAAGAGAATTTCCAAGGCAGCTGGTACTACTTCCCCTTTTTCCAGGAAGACAGGAGGCCCAGGGGATTTTGGCTTATGAAACAGTGGAGCAGGGCATCCAGTGACCTGACCTAGCTTCCTAGGGAAGCTTTGGTTTAGGTGCAGCAAGGACCCTGTCTGCAAGTTCTGCAGTGACCTCCCAGGAGCTCCAGTGCTCTCAGCCTTGTGTGAGCCCCTTGGTTTTTTCCTGGGGCTCACCATCTGCTTTGCCTCTCTAGGGCTGCAGCCTCCTCTTTCTCCTTGCTGAAGAGGCTGTGCTTCACCTGGATTATATTTAGCACCAGTGCTGTCACCCCAATTCTTCTAAGTCTTTTATGAATCATTTTGTGGTTGCCTTGGCTCTGCTGGTATCTATTTAACTTCCTGTACATGACAAGGAAGCCTACTCATATTTCTGCATTGTCTGTAGTCCATAGAACAGCCTCCCACAGATGCTCCTTCTTCAGCAAGGCTTTCATCCCCCCAGATCCTGCCCTCAAACTTGAAAAACCTTGATTCTCTCTCTTAAGCCATTTCTGACACTAGCTGTGGTGGATCTATCCATGAAGCCAGTGGCTCTTCATGGGAGGTTTGGATGGAGATGAAGTATTTAGGTCACAGCTTTTTAGCACGTAAAGATGACTGACGTAAAAACCACCAAAAAGCATTTGGTAAGACCTCTTCATTGTGCTCATGGTGAGCAAAATCAGTTGAGTAGGTGGGGTGGATTGCTACAGGGTTAGATCAGAGGGCTATCAGCACAGCAGCTGGCTGCTAGGAGGACTATATGGGTTTGTGCTGCTCGCTCTGGACTGAGAACCATTTGCAGGGAAAAGCTGAGGTGCAGTGGCTGCAACAACAGGGAATACAGATGCTAAAACACAGAAATCAGAGTTGCTGGGGCATGACCCTAGGAGAGGATAGGCGCTGAGAGGCTGAGGGAGCTTTTCGTGTGATATGTTGGCCACAGTGCTATTCTCACAAGCATCTTTGCTCTTCCAGGGTCAACTGACTTGAGTGAGGCTGAAGAGGCCGAAATAGAGACAATCAGGCAGCACAGACAGGAGCTTTTGGAGGACATTAAGGTAAGGACCATCCTGTTCCTCCTGTTCTGCCTAGCCTTTTCAAAACTGTCTTCACCAAGGAGCATCTTCACGTAACAGTCCAGGCCATGAAGAAGTGCTCCTGCACAGGAGACGTTTGCTCTGGCATGATCCAACTTGAATTCAGAACTTCAGGCTGCCCTGGCATATTTGCCACCAGTGTGCATCCAACCTGTGGTACTCTCTGCTGCAGGAGTCATCAACTACCCTAATGGGATTTTTGAGAAAGACTGGTCAGCTCATTAGCAGGGATGAGCTGGGACTGCATATTAGGATTGAGTGTGACTTTACTAAGTCATACTGGCAGGGATCTGGCTCAGCATTTGTGATTATTTTTAATTACTGATTACCCGCTAATGACGTATCCGTCCTAGTTACCTGCTACATCCCCCTGTGTTTATCAAACTTTTGTTTGGTTTGTGGACCTCTAACAAGTCCTCCACGAAGGATCTTGTCTCTTTAGAGAGGTGTGATGGCAGGACCTACCACACAAGTTTCCATGGTTGAACTTGCTTTTCTTCTTTTCTTTTAGCAGACACAAACATTTCTCCACTGACTCCTAAGATGTCTGAAAGTGACAGATTCAAAGTCAGTAATATTGCATCGCAGACATGCATGGTGCTTTACACTTTCTATTCTGTTCTGCCTCCACCATCGTGGAATGTCGTCTCCCATTTGAGAGACCTTATTGCACTGATTCATTGGACTTGCACTGATTTTCCCACAACATGAAGATGTCCAGATGCCTGGGGAGTAGGTGCAATACTTCCTTGCATAGAGTAACAGAATAACCCAAACTACTTATTACTTCTCAGGCTTCCAGAGTCACCATCTCCACTGCGAATCAGAATGGTGTCTTGTCTCTTCTTGCAAAACAGGCTACAAATGTATGTGCATGTGGTTTGCTTATGTGTGGTTCTTATCTCTTCAGTTTTCAGAATAGGCAATGGGCACTGTAGGGGGCAGGATAGCTGAATAGGAATGTTACATTTTTTACCCACTATGGACAGAGAAAAGCTGCTAGACTACACAGACCCGTACTCTAAATCCCAAAGCCGTTAACTAATGGGGTATACATTGCCCAGTGGAGCAGGATGAGTTTAGGTGAAAGAGTACCTAGAACTAGAGACATTTTCCCAGGTGGATTTCTTCAGAAAGTATCAAGCAATACCCGTTAACACAAAGACTTGGGGGGATGTCTGGTGGGGTGAGAGGGAGGAGGGGAGAGGATGGGTCTCGACTTGCCAGTTACACTGCCAAAAGACAGCAGTGAATAAAATAACAAAACTGATAAACATTTGAAATTCAGGAGCTAAGATCACAGCTTTGTTACATTTATGCAATACCTAAAGCTTAGGAAGGTATAGTCCCACCTCTGGAGACTGATGAAGCTCAACAGAATGAAGGCCAGAGCAAAACTGAAATCCAGAAGCTCTTTTAAGTTATGGGATATTGGAGAACTTCAGTTTCTGTCTCTGCGTGCATATTGTGGCCATATCCTCGCCCCTTGTTGAGACAAGATCTGTCATAAAACAACCCTTCTTCCCCTGCCAATTCTGGTTTGTATGGGGAAGAATTTGGGTGATTCCTGGAAGAGAGCTGTGATGCCCTCTGGCTCTGAGGAGGACTGTAACTGCAGGATGGAAGCAAGGAGATATAGACATCTTCATTTCCTTGGTAACACGGAATATCCAGCCAAGAAGGCCATGGTCTGCCATGGGCCTAAAGGAAATGGAATTCTACAACTGATTTTTTTTTTTTTTTAAATTTGGCAGTGATTACTCTCTTTTACTCCTTCTCTCTTCTTTCTCCACCTAAAGACAGGTATCTGCTCAATGGTATTTGAATGATAGGTATGTTAAAAACTCTGTGTTTCACAATGTGGCCACTTCAGGTTCATATTGACCTCACAGCTACTGGTTCCACTTCCCCTTTCCTGGATGTGTAGCATGGCTATGCAAAATAAAAGCTAGAAGGAAATGGGCATGATGGAAGGAGTCTCACATCTGACATTGTTTGAGGAACTGAAATCAACATTGGGGTATGTTCTCTGACACCCTCCCCACTGGCTAAGCTTGTTTTTCCAGCCTTGATTGACAACAGACTTGAGAACTTCATTCTGCCCCTCTCTCCCATTGTTTTCATCTGGAATCCAGCAGGGTCACCCCAGAGTAGTGCCCATTTCATAGACATCTTTGGCTGTTGTGACCATCTGACCAGTCCTTCTCCTGTGATTGAGGGAAGAAGTAAGAGATGCTCTGTATGTGTCTGCTGGTTTTCCCTCCATCGCCTTCATCCTCCTGATATTTCTTTTGCAGAAGCTAAAGGAAGAGATTGCTCAAGTGTTTGCGGAAATTGAGTGCTTCCAAAATGCAGAGAAGAGGAAAGAGGCAGACAATAATCCTGGGGAGCAGACCAGGCAAGTGGGACATGATGGGTATTTCTTTTTTTACGAACTCTCTGTCTTGATGTTGAGAAAACAAAAAGCCACTGAATGGATTTGGATCACAACAAAGACAGGGAAATGAGGCCAGGAATACCCTTTTCTGCTGTGAGATTTCTCTTTATTCCTAGATAGTCAGACACCTGTTCTTGCGATATCTGAGTTACCTTGTGAGTGAATTGAAACATGGCCCTTTATTCCAAGTTTGACTTTCCTTCTTCGCGTTTGCAGCAAACTATCACAGAAGGATAAACTGTCCCTGGGCAGGAAGAAATTCAACATGGACCCTGCAAAGGTAGGATTTGTTCATTCTACCTATGAGGAGAAAGCTGGGAGGAAAAGCTTCTCTTGGCTACTGGTCCACTTGCAGCCACCCATGTCAAAGGAACTATGGCATGGGACTGTGGGGCTGGTTTCCAGTTAGGCTTCCAGTTAGTAGCACCCTTCATCCTGTCCCTGAATAAGGTCTTCTGATGTGATCAAACTGTGTTGCCTCCCCCCCATCATGTGCCTATAGGCCATCCCATCAGATGCCACCCAAAACTAAGAGAAATAAAGGGAGGATGGTTTAACACTGCCAATGTGTCAGGAGAGCCAAGCCTCCTTCAGCCCAGCTCTTCTTGCCTGTGAGAGGCTGAGAGTTGGCCATAGTGGGATGGAGGAGGATGAAGTAAGAAGAAGGTGAGAAGTTTTGAGAGTGTGTCAGGTTCCTTGGCTCATTCAGAACAGAAGAGGACAAGCTGCCTCTGTCATTTTGGAAGTCGTTTTGGTTTTGGTAGTACTGGATGGACTGTGGAGTGAATCCAGGTTTTCCACTTTCTGGGACTCCGACCAGTGAGGTCCAGACACCAAAACCTTCATGCCTCTGCAGAAAGCTCTCAAATTGTCATGATTAAGTAGAGAAGATGTGAGAAAGACAGTTTCCTCTTCCTTCCTCCTCACTGATGAACGATTATTTTTGCACTCTGTAAGGAAAACCACAAGCTGCGATTGAACAGTTGCTCCTCAGCAGCTAACCACCACAGCTAGCATCTTGCGTGGCTGCTCGTCTGAGTGACAACTTTTCATGCCTCCTCCTCTGCCCTGCTGAGACCCTCAAGATGCCTTCCCCAGTATCCCCACCACAGGTGGAGTGCTTGCCAGTCCCCTGGACATCCCTCTGCCAGTGGGAGCTGTCTTAGAGCAGTGATACCGGGACTTACAGCCTTGCGTGAGAGCAGGTTCCATTTTGCCTTTCTGTTTGACCTTGGTTTGAGGTCCTAGAGGGATCTCTCGCTGTGGCACTCTGCTATGCTGTGCAGAAATATGTGAACTAGCTCTGACCCCAAACCAGTTTAGCTTTATTAGTTCAATGCTGATCAGCCCGGGTCAAAATGTTAAACTATGTGCCTATATTATTGTCGTGGTTTACCCCCAGCCAGCAACTAAGCACCACGCAGCCGCTCACTCACTCCCCCCCATCCAGTGGGAGGGGGGAGAAAATCAGGAAAAGAAGTAAAACTCTGGGGTTGAGATAAGAACGATTTAATAGAACAGAAAAGAAGAAACTAATAATGATAATGATAACACTAATAAAATGACAACAGTAGTAATAAAGGATTGGAACGTACAAATGACACGCAGGGCAATTGCTCACCACCCGCCGACCGACACCCAGCCAGTCCCCGAGCGGCGAATCGCTGCCCCCCCACTTCCCAGTTCCTAAAATAGATGGGACGTCCCATGGTATGGAATACACTGTTGGCCAGTTTGGGTCAGGTGCCCTGGCTGGGCATGAGAAGCTGAAAAATCCTTGACTCTAGTCTAAACACTACTGAACAACAACTGAAAACATCAGTGTTATCAACATTCTTCACATACTGAACTCAAAACATAGCACTGTACCAGCTACTAGGAAGACAGTTAACTACATCCCAGCTGAAACCAGGACAATTATGCAGATGTCTGTTTATTGCTTCCCTTTTGCTACATGCTGAGAGGTAGCTGCAATGCAAGGAACTTTCTTTGCCCCTCCTTGCTAAGGTTACACTTCACCCCTGCAGTGCTGATATACTTTAAATGAGTTCCTACTTCCAAGATCTCAGGGCAAGTTCCTGAAGCTAGTGGACATAAGCGTTAGGAATCTGGCTGAACAAAACCTTTTGGGAGAAACATTTTCTTCTGGAAAATGGAGCCCCATCATCACAGCAATGCTTTACAAAAATTAAATTGATCTTACCAAAGTTCTGTCTGGGGAAAAAGAAGGGAAAATAGTGTGGAAAAATCTCACAAATGTTTCAATTTCTCCTTTTGAAACTGCTTTTTCTTTGGGGCATTTTAGAAATAGTTTCTTATATATTACAAGGCAAAGTGAATTGATTCTGTTGAAGTAGAACATTTTGACGGATCTAAAACAATTTTCATTCCTTTATTGTATTTTGTGAGGAGAATTGCAATGTGGTCTGGAGAGCTGCAGTGGTTTTAGATATTGTTAAGAATCTGAACAAAACCTCAACTTTCTGTGACTTTGAAAATCATGAAATTCCCTCTAAAATAGGATGTTGTCTCTTTGCACAGCCAAACTCAGACCATCTATATCCCTTAAAAAACATATTCCATCCTTACTGGCTGGGGAAGATGGAGCTGAAAAGATTGCAGACTTCTGTGTTCTGTGGCATAGAAGAATATTCAGGAAAAAAATAATTTTAAGTTGTCTCAAGCCCATATTTTTGTCTGAGTACATTTTTTTATAATGTCTTCTTTCAAACAACATTTTTTTCTTTAAGTTAATTTGGGAAAAAAATGACATTTAGGAACAGAACACTAAGATATTTTGATTGAAAATGTTAAAATGAATTATTTGACTTTCCCTTTTTGGACTTTTAACTTACATTGCCCTTTTTTGTTTACTTGAGTTTCCATCCCAGTGAAACATTTATCCAAATCTAAGCATGAAATAGAAGTGGTATTGACCCACCATGGTGGATGAAGAGGGATGGAATAAGGGTGGGGACATGGCTGTGGTCTCCCATAAAGGGGCTGGGGAGCAACAGAGGAGGCAACATCATCAAAGCCAAGGAAGGCTGATAGCAGTGTTGGGGTCCTACAGAGCTGTCTTACCTCACTGTCTTGCTTCTCCTCCCCCAGGGGATCCAGTACCTGATTGAGCAGCAGGTATTGTCCTCAGACCTGCAGGAGATTGCCAAATTCCTCCACAAGGGTGAAGGCCTGAACAAGACAGCCATTGGGGATTACCTGGGTGGGAGGTGAGCAACCCAGCCAGGATGAGGAGGTCCTTTGGATGCCCTGTCCTGCCTGGCCCCTTTCAACTACCATTTCAGATGACCCCTGGCAGACCTCGGTCGGGTGCCAAGACTGAACACAGCTCAAACTGCAGTGGGCTGGGTGGGCAGTACACCCCGGAGGTTGGAGTGTGGCTAAGGCTGGCTGTATGGGCTACCTTTTCTCCTGCCTGTAATGGGGTCAGTCTTCCCAGACAAGAGTGTGCATCTTGGCTTCTTGTTGGTCAGAGGGGAAGTGAAGGCTGGAATGGAGCTGGGTGCATGTTGTCACGCCAAAGGGCATCAAAACTGAGCAGGGTCAAAGCTGTCTTCTGAACTTTTCCCTCTATCCTCTCCCAGGGACCCCACAAACATTCAGATCCTCCAAGCCTTTGTGGCATGTCACCAGTTCGCCAACCTCAACCTGGTGCAGGCTCTGAGGTGAGTGACCATGCAGGACGCAAGAGAAGGAGCAGGAGCCTGCTCAGCCACTGGGTCTTACCCCCCAGGAAGGTTGTGAAGCCTTACTGGCCTGAAATGGGGCTTCCCAAGGCCCTGCTGCATGTGTTTGCTCCAAGACTGTTGCTTCGTGAGGTGTTAACACCTTTTCCTGGGGGAACTCTTTCATGGCCCCTTGACTGGACTGGCCATGTGCAGAGAAGATGGGAAAAGCCAAGTGGGTCACTGTGGCTTCAATGGCTAGAGGGATGGGGCAAGTTATTTTTTGCACTGGGAAACATGTCTGTCCACAGTGTCCGTTCTGTCAGTGACAAAGTGACTCTGTCTTAGGGCATCTTGTTTTCTTATAGGCCAGCCTCTTGGCAGGAGTCTTGATGTCTCTGCTGCCTTGCAGGGCACTCATTAGGGAAGAGGAGCCATGATTTCCAGGATGCTTACTTCTGCTTCCAGCTTTTAGGGTGTTTGAGGCTGATGACCTCAGGCAATTTCTGGAGAGAGGAGCAGAGCTCCTGCTTCATGCACTGTGTTGTCTTCCCAGTCTGATGGGATGACTTCTTTTATTTTCCCAGTGTCCCACGGGTTGAGGGAAGGGATGAATGTCCCTTGCACCCAATCTGACTAATTCTCTGGCATGCTGCTCCTGACAGACAGTTCCTATGGAGCTTCCGGCTGCCTGGGGAAGCGCAGAAGATTGACCGGATGATGGAGGCCTTTGCCAACTGGTACTGCAAGTGTAACCCTGGAGTATTCCAGTCCACAGGTAGTTATGGGGAGAAGAAGGCCTGTAAAGCTGAGCTCCACTGCTTGCTAGGGAAAGGAGCCATCCTTTTCCATTCACAAAGCACAGAGGTCATCACTTGGAAGTGTGGATGTTTGCCCTTAAGATGAAGGAGGTAGCCCAGTTCCTGTGAAGCTTTTCAGTAGGCTGAGGGTCTTCAGTCCTCCTTGTGCTACTGTGCCCCAGTCCATCCCCATGGGCAATAGACGTGAGAAGTGCTCCCAGCCCCACATGAGGTATATACCTCATCACAGCAAGGATAGCAATGACAGACATGTGTCTGTAGAAGCTTTCCTGCTGGCAGAGCCATTATCAGACCAGATCTACCCGACTTGCCCCATTAACCTGAGGGGATGGAATCACCTCCATACAGGGGATCAGCTCTGTCCCTCTTTCTCCTAGCAGAGGGGATATCTCCCTTTTCCTCCTACAGCTGAGAGGATGACGCTGTTCTCCAGTGACTGGAAACCAAGCTGCCTGTTAGGGTGTGGATTGATCTGCCTTCTAAGACAAGTGCCACCCATCCTGGTTTTCTTTCTTGTTGCCAGATACGTGTTATATACTCTCCTTCTCTATCATCATGCTTAACACCAGCCTGCACAACCCCAATGTGAAAGACAAAACCCCCTTTGAAAGGTTTGTATCCATCAACAAAGGCATTGACAATGGAGAGGACCTGCCAGAAGAGCTCTTAAAGGTAAGAAGACCTCCCATTTTTCTCATCAGTCCCTCTTTTCTCTCTGGTTTGGGGTCCACTGAGAATCAAAGGTCCACAGGTCTCAGTGTCATACAGGTCTACTGACCTTCTGCCATACAAGGGGAAGGGCTGCGCGAGGAAAGAGGGCAGTATGTACAAAAGCAAAGCTGGAAAATGTGGAAACTGCTTCGGAGAGGGGCTGCACACACGCTTGTTGATGAGGACATGGAGCAAGAGAGACAGGGCTGAAGACATTCAGGGAACAGCAGTATCAGTTTAAGAAAGTTTGTGCTTTTAAGTGTGTCCGTGTAAGAGAGGAACAGATACTGTAACTGTGTGAGAGAGGAAGACATGAGCTGCGGGCGTCTGTGTGTCATGTAGGCACGAAGCTGTGTGAACAGGACACCCACCTCGCTGGGAGGTAGCTGGGCACCTGACTCTTTTGGCCAGCTTTGAAAGTCCCAGCCCCCAAGGGGACTGTCTGTTTCTTGTGTGTTTCTGTGTGTGTGAGACAATGTCACCGTGGCCCAGATTATGAATCCCTTTCCCTTGTTCATACGTAAATGTCTCAGCTGACACCAGTGTGCCCATCAGTCAGGACACCAGTGCCTGACCTCTCTTACACCAGGATATAGCTTTGAGTGAGTAGAACCAACAAGTCCCAAATGACTGTCAGGGCCTCTTCCAGCATCTCATCCACCATCTGTAAAGCTCTCAGCAGGTCCGTGGTGTCTCTGATCCCAGAAAATGAAGATGCAGCACGGGGGAGACAGAGACAGGGGAAGCATCCATTAGCAAAGCTGGAGCTACCATTTTCCCGAAGGCTCAGCAACCATGGGACCTGCCCTATGAGGCAGCCTGCCTGCATGTGTCTAGCTTTACCCAACCAACCTGGGGAGAATAACTTGTGTCAAAGAGGCTGCCTACATCCCACACTTGGGTTTGCTAAGAATCATCCCCTCAGGGTGAAGGCTTTAGATTTTTCTCCAGAGTGTCATTTCTTGCAGGCAATTTGAGGGAAGTTGCAGGAGCCTGTAGTTTCATTTTTTTTCTTGGCTTCGGATTTGTGTAATAAATGATAGCAAATCCAATGATGTGAGCAACATTTTTGTATCCCTTGAAAGCTAGTAACCTGCCTCCCTGTCACTGCTGTTATGAATGTCACCCTTGTGTCCCTCTGCAAAAGCCTTGGTTCTACGAAATGTGCCTCCTTGTGGTCATGTAGATGTGTGTGTTGGTCTCTATATAGAAGTTCTCAGCAGAGTGTTTGGCACCACAAACCCAGGGCCTAAATGGGGCTGCAGTCTCTGCCGTGTCGTGTCGTGTGTGTGTGTCCCCCATGTGCCTTTGTACTACTCACAGCGGCACTCGTGTGACATGCTGGGTTTGGTCACTGCACTCTATGGGTGCACACTTTTGTGTCTGTGACTTTCCAGATTGGGTCTCTTTTTTGGACACAGGATGCAGAAAAGAGCCGGCGATCCCCCTTGAGGCCCTGTGAGGTATAGACTGAGGGCTGCTGTACCCCCAGGGCTCATCTCCCACTCCCCTCCCCATTCACCCACCTGCTCCTGTGGAAACAGAGTGATGAACCAGCTGGACCTAGGAGAGTTTTGTACAAGCTTTGCCAGAAATCTCTTTCTTTCTTTCTTTCTTTCTCTTTCCCCCATCAATGCTCTGGGGCAGAATCTGTTTGAGAGCATAAAGAATGAGCCATTCTCCATACCTGAGGATGATGGGAACGACCTCACGCATACTTTCTTCAACCCTAACCGTGAGGGCTGGCTCCTGAAACTAGGTAAGGAGGAGGATTCCCCTAGCTCCTCTGAATTCCCCGCCTGCCTGCCTCCCACCACAAATCTCCCCCAGGAACCCACCAGCATCTCTGCTGTCCTTCCCTCCCATCCGCTGCAGTGGGGTGAGGCTGACACCTGCCGTCGATCCCAGCTGCCTGCTCTCTCCTCCCAGCTCCTGCAGGCTTTGTCTGCTCAAAAAGGGACTAAAAAAAAGATATCCCTCACCCCTCCCCATTCTCAGCCCCATCAGAGCAAAACTGGCTCCCTGTGTGTGCGTGTCCACCATACGGCACCACATCAGCGATGAGCACCACGGTTGCTTCCTTGGGGGCTGATCTACACGGAGAGCTGGGAGGGTATGACTGTGTGTGCCTGTCTGGAGACTGGGGGGGCAGGGGGTGTGCATGAAGGACAGCAAAATGTGTGACTAATGCCTTTTGAACCTCACTGCCTTTAGGAGGACGTGTGAAAACCTGGAAACGCCGTTGGTTCATTCTGACCGATAACTGTCTGTACTACTTTGAATATACCACGGTAAAGGCTTAACTCCTGGTTGGGAAACTGTGTCCTGGGTGGTTACGAGCCTCTGAGGGGCCAGGGAGGAGCAGAGGGTGGGAGGCAACTCTTCCCTTCTATCCTACACTCCCAGACTGAACTCAGACCTCCCTTCTCTCCTATGCTGTTTCCTCACCTCTGGTCTTGAGGAGGAGAGGCTGGACACTGCAGCTATTGCTGTGATCTCCTAAGCTCCCCGTTGTGTAAATGGAGGCGGTGTCCTCTCCTTGTCACCCCCACAAAGACACACGGCTGGGAAATCAGAGAGGCTCTAAGAAGTGGCATAGATATGGGGAGCATGCTGGGTATTAATTCATGTTTCCTGCCTTCAGGACAAAGAACCTTTGGGCATTATCCCCCTGGAGAACCTCTCAGTCCAGAAGGTGGATGATCCCAAAAAGCCAGTAAGTCTCCATTGCTTGGTACTCTGCCAACACAGGCTTTCAGGCAGTCAGAGGGAAGAGAGGGTGCACACACCCTACCCTCACCATGCTTCTTGGAGGGAAGGTGCCACTCCAAACTGCCTTGTGCCCCCATCTAAATATGATGGTATCTAAACATGATTGTATTTTACCAGGGAAGATCTGGTGTGAACGTTGAGCTGTCCTTTGGCTGGCTGTATTGTATGTTTTCATGTGTGTTTGTAGGGGGGGTGGAGATCAGTGCACACAGCTGACTCCCTACTCATTTTGCACCAGGAGATGTGGGTTCAATTTGTCTCCCCAGGACTCGCCATAATGAGTTACAGCACATGTAGACCAGACAGTGCTGTGGTGTTAGGAAACCTGCTCAGGAAGTGACATTCTTTGTCTGTGCATCTTTTGTGGATACCCGCTCTTTGATCTGTCGTCACTCTGGGAAAAGTGCCCTCTATCTGTGTGGTGGCAGGCAGAAGAGAGGATGGTTCATCTACTTAAAAGGGGGAGAGACCTTAATGAGTGGAACAGAGTGACAGATCCCAGAAGGTGTTTTCTGATAACTGTTGATGCTCCACCTCTCCATAAAGCCTGTTTTAGTGTCCAGTCATTCACAGGAAGGGTGTATTTACCTAAGAGGGATGGCCTGGAGATCTAACTCATAGGGGGGTTCTTGGGGTGGGGAAGGAAAGGCTCTGTTGAATTTCAGAGACAGAATGCTCTCCTCCCCTTTGGAAGCTCTCTGAGCCTGTCACCCATGGTTGAAGGCAGCATAGTCTCCTTGGTCCACCTTGTCCTCCCCTACAGTTCCATTTTATTCCCTTTCTGACAGAACTGCTTTGAGCTCTTCAATCCCAAATGCAAAGGGCAGAAGATTAAAGCCTGCAAAACGGACGGGGATGGGAAGGTGGTTGAAGGCAAACATCAGTCCTATAAGATCTCAGCAGCCACACCAGCAGAACGTGACGAGTGGATTGAGGCAATACGGTGAGGAGACTGGAACTGGAGGCCTGAGCTTGCCCTTGTTCAGCCCCAGGGACAATTGGTCATGCAGTTTATTTGGTTACCAGAGCTTGAAAAGGGGAGTGGAAAGGTTTGCAGTCTAGCAACTGTGGTACCTCTTGACTTTGAAGAGTTTTGAGGTCCCTTCTGGAGAATCTCTAGCCACAGCTAAATACTGTGCTGTAGGTCTGCAGATCTCCAGTCTTACATTTTGGTGAGTAGTGTCTCTGTGCAAGTTCAGTTAGGTTGCCTGTGCTGCTCTCCAGCATTAAATCTCTTACTTTTGCTCCTATTTCGGTTTATTTCCAGGACCAGCATCACACAGGATCCTTTCTATGATCTGGTCTCTGCCCGTAAGAAAAAGATTGCCAGCAAAAACTGAGCCCTAACCTGGTCACTGGCAGCAGGAAGATGTAGTTGTTGGACAACTTCACTCCCGTGCTGGGTTCTTCCAGTGAAGAAATTTGGGAGCATTGGTTCCCTCTGCCTCCCACTTGGCAGGAAGATGACTGAGAGGAAAACTTGCCAGATTTGCTTCTTCCCTTTCCAAACTGAAGGCAGAGGCGCAGGGCGCAATCCACTGAGGACTGTCAGAACTGCGGTCATGGCATTTCCCATGACCAAACATAAAGGCTCAACAGCAACTGGCCTTTGGGTTCTCCCCTATAGCCCCAGGCGTGTATGACAGGATCTGAGAGGACACGAGAATGTCTCCAGAATGTCTCCAGCCCCTCCTGCTATCAAACCAGGCCTGGGTATTTTTGTGTGGGGAACCATGTAGATGCTCTTGGAGCAGCCAAGCATGGTCCAGTCAGTTGCAGAGCAGAAAAGCCCCAGTGGTTTCTCTTCCACAAACAGAAGTGTAGTGGTTGTGGAAAAAGGGCCACTGATATTTAGGACCTCACTGTGAAACTAGAGGCCAAGGGAAGATAAGAAGCCCTCTGTTCAGAAGAGAGCCCTCTCTACCTCTTCCTATAGCTGTGAGGGCTGTAATCCTGGGAAGTCCCTGCTCTGTAACTGAGTCATAGGTTTTAGAAAGTTAAAGGTGTTGGAGAGGGAGATAAGGGGTAACTGAGTGTAGAGAGGCTGTGGGACCAGGGAAGCGGCTCTGGGTCTTTTGTCTCTCTGTTTTGTGACTCAGAGCCCACCACAGGTCTCCCTAGGGAAGAAACCTGAACACTAGCTCTTCTCCTGGCTGATGGCTCCCCAACAGAGGTTGCTTCCTTGTACCACTCCAGAGACCCGGGCTTTGTGTGTGAAAGGCCTGCAGCCAGAAGGCATGAAAAATTGGAGGTGCATACACACCACACACACAAGCACACACACAGAGGCATTCCCATCTTCACATACTGGTTTCATCTGAGCGTGGGGGTTTTTGTCTCTTGTGTGAAGAAAGAAATAAAAGTGCTTGAAACAAGCCCAACACTCAGGGTGACATGATCATTTTAGTGATAAAGGCAGAGGATGTAAGGTAAGAGTGTCATGTTCCTGTGCCTAGCAAAGCAGCCTGAGCACCACCGCAGCTCTGCACTGCACCCAAAATGCAGGCAGGCTGAGCACATGGCACAAGCAGGCAGCTGTTGGGCAGCGTGGAAAGGAGAAGTAGTTAATGGGACAAGACAAAAGGTGCAGGGAGCTGTAACACTGCAAACTGGGAACAGCATGGAGGCAAATACCAGACATTCGCTAGACACAATTACACCTGCAGGGTTAAAAGACGTGATAAGCTATTGCGATTTCATCTGTTACCTTTTGGTCTCTTCTAGTAAACACTGGTGCTGTCTCAATCTTTTGCCTTTTATCTTCCTGCAGAGGGCTCTATCTACCAGGCAATCTGCAGCAGGGCCAGCAGAGCCCGATTATTCATTCTAGTTATTTTTGCCCAAGCCACAGGAATGTTGAATTAATTTCAAGAGGCAGGGAGTGTATCTCAGAGTTCAAGCACGCGCTCACCCTGGAGAAGGAACGTGAAGGTTTTCTTCTGCTCGCGCCTGCAAATATCTCCTACGTTGAATCTCTTTGTCACTGATGTGATACGGAGTGAGTTTGCTGCCCGCTGCTCTAGAGCACATGCTCACACACATTCATTTTTGCTTTGGGTTCAAGGCAGGGAGGCAGGGTCGTGTCCAGAGGTGGGAGGAGAAGTCAGAATATGGCCCCTTATCTTGGCAACATCTCCAATATATGTAAGAGAAATATAAATATGCACTTTGTGGTGAAAGATGCCCCAGAGCCTAGGATTTGGGTGAGAAACGTCTGTTCTAGCGCCTCTCAGGCTCATACTCTGTGTGACAAAAGCCATCAAAATATAACCTAGAGTCTCTCTTCTACCCACAGTCTGGTCTTGGGTGAGGAAATCCAGGCTAAGCCCTTCCTAGAGTTTACCTGGATCATTCCTATGACAGCAGGGACTATCCAAGCTCTTCCCAATCCCTCCTCATCCCAAATCCTTGCAATTCTCTGCAGGCTGCCTATGTCCTTTCCCCTCCCTTCTTCCCCCAGATACCCACACGCTGCAGAGCAGAATTATTCCTAGCGGGGACAGGGTGGGAAGGACAACTTCTGAGAGGCAAAACAATGCACAAAGACAGGCAATTCTGTAGTTTGCATCCATCAAACTAACCACATGAGTCAGGAGGAAGTGGACCAGGTTTCTTCTCTCCTAGAGACTGAGGTAGGGAGAAAGACAGTAAGTGTGAGTTTCCATTGCCTTTCCTTGGCTCCAGCACAGAAAATTCATTTCAAAACTCCTTGCTATACCATGCCCCAATCTCCTCTGTGACGTGAACACAACGGTACCTGATGTTGCCCACCAGCAATGCAACATGTGCACTCTCTGAGTGGTATCCTTGACCTCATGCCTGCTGAATACCAGTGTGTTTGGTATAGGCCAAGATGTCTCAGGACAGGTCTATAAAACTTGACCATCCCCTCATATCCATGTGCTTTGACAGCCGTGCTTGCAGCCCTTGCAAATTTATGATGGGAACGATTTGTGCAACTAGAATGGTACCACCAGGGAATGTGTTGCTGGCCACCATCACACATTCCCTTTGCTGAGGGCAACTGCAGCACCACACACACATGAATGCATACACACAGACACACAGACACACACAGAGCCCTTCATATACTAAACCTGACAGATTGCTGTCTACCTGGTAGATGTGTTCCTCCTTCTCACTATAGGCAGCGTATGTGGCTCACACAGACATACATGCAGAAGACTGACACTAATTCCCTGCCTGCCTGCGGACTCCTGCGCACACCCAGTAATTTGTTTTCATAATAAATGTCCATCTATTTTCATAAAAGGGCTGGGAGGACAATACCACAGATGTGTGGAATAGACCACATCGCTGCATCCTGCCTCCTCCCCGCTTCTTCCCTTCCTCCTGTCCCCTGTTTATCAGCTCCTTTTTGGAAGGCTAATACATTTTAAAAAGGCATTCTAGAAATTGTTTGCAGCGGCAGCGATGGAGCAGCTGTGAGGAGAGCCAGCGGTCTCATTCAGTACAGCTTAGGTATCTAGCAAAGGGTGGAGAAAAGCTCTGGGATGTGGAGGGGAAAGGCAGTGTATGAATGGAGACAAACTGGTCTGGATTATGGATTCAGAGCCGATCAAATGGCATGAGCTGAGCCTGTCTTTTTCCAGGGGGTGAATGCCCTTGGTGATGGGAGCTCATGAGCAAACGGAGGTCTGTGGGAAGGCAAGGCTCTGCAAGCAAGCTGGCCAGAAGTAGTGTTCAGTGGTGGGGTGGGAGCACCCATCTGAGATACTGTCCTTTCCTGGCAGGCCTGAAACTGCTCAGCTGTGTGTCACAGACCCTTCAGCACAAAGGGAAAATCAAGCAGCTCCTTTCTGCTAGCTAAACAGAATTATCTCGAGTGGGACTGCCAGTCTTTTAACTCCTTCTGTGATACGCCGTGTGAGCCCCCACACCTCACCCCTCCACAGCAGTGCAGGGATTGCCACCAAGAGTGGTCGACAGGTTTGCCAGCTTGTACCATAAACCTGGAGGAACGGAAGGCATCACAAGGGCATCAGAGGGATGGGGGCCATTCTTCATACCCTCTGAGATAGGTCAATTGTATGGAAAGAAGCACAGCCCCGCTGAATTGAAGCTGGTTTGAATGGTGCAGTTAGATTTGTGGGTCCAACAGGAGCAGTTCCTCCTGTCTCCCACCCCTTATGTTTGGTGGCTGGAAAGCAACTCATTACCTGAGGGTGGGGGACCCATTGCGGTACGTCCTCCCTCTTAAAACTTTCTTTGAATATGCATTTCACCCAGAAAGTCTAGAGCACAAAGCTAGAGGGCTGGACAGCTCTCAAAGGCACCATGGCCTCTCTGCTGCACCTTGTTCTGGCTCACTTCTGTCTCCAGCCTGACAGAGGGCCAGGCTGGGGGGCTGGAGGAAGCCCAGGCAGACTGGGGTTGAGACCTGACCAGGGTTTTTTGGAGTGTCACTGCTGTCACAGCTGCAGTGGCTCTGCTCTAAGTGCCTGTGACAGGGACGTGCAGCAGTCTCATCTTGCCACACCATTTCCAATTCTTCTGCCTCCCTGCGATGAAGATGAATGAGACCTGTCCCAGGATATCACATTGCTGTGCGTGTGAGCCTGTACACAGACGTCAGTTTGGTCCTGAAGGGTGACACTATTGGGCTAACTGCAAGGAGGTTGTGTGTGGTGGGACAGATGGGACTACAAGGAAAGAGTCAGGGAGGGTGGAGGGTCTTGTGTGGGTAGCTGATGTTGCTAGACATGCCAGCCCAACACTTCAGGGCGAGAGTGGAGATGGTGCAAGGCGGCCATCACATCTGGGCCCTCAAGGGCACAGCATGTGTGGGGAGACGACCGTATGCCCTGCTAGCACAGCATGTCTTTGCTCCTCTACCTTGCCGAATAAGTGGGATGACATGTCCCTGTCTGCATGTGAGTACAAACACAGGTATAGACCTGTGCGTGAGTGTGCTGTGTCCTGCACACTCATAGTACACACACCCAAGCACATCTGCACATACACAGGTATATACACGGTCCACATGCATCCCAGCCCAATGCCTCTCCTTGCTCTTTCCTTGCAGAAGGGCCCTGGCAAAACAGGCAAAACGGGTCTGTTTTCCCTCTTTTCACCCTGAGGGTGCTGCATAATATTAAGCAGTGTTTGGTAGATACTGGCCAGGGCCCAGCATAGTGCGGTAAGTTGCACCTCTTTGGAACAGCCACAGCATTTTCCTTTCAAATATTCTATCACTTTATCAGGGTCCTGGAGTTGTTTGGGAGTGAAGTTCCAAACCATTGGAGGTGAGAAGTTCTCTAGATACCTGCCCGTATTCTCCCACAATAGAAGGACCCTGGAAAAACAGTCTGTAAGGGAAGATGACAGAGGAGCAGGGAAGGGCAGTCCTTGTGGGGTTGGACAGCAAGCAGTATGTGGGAAGAGGGGGGCAGGACAGACTGCGGTGAGGTCTACAGAGACCACAGGGCTCCTGCCCCATGGGGGCTACGCTAGTAGGAACACAGCCCTTCACCTGGGCAGAATTTGGGGAAGGACGTGGTGGCTATGTTAAGGGACATTGGAGGGTGAGGCATTTAGTGAGCCTCTTCCTTCTGAGGCACTAGGCTGACCTTAAGGGACTACAGAAAAGACATTTTCTGCTCCCTCTTTAACT